TATATATGTATATATAAATATATATAACTATGTATATATATATATATATATATGTATTATATATTATAATATATGTATATATCAAAGACATATAATATATTTATATATATATATATATATATGTATATATATATATATATATATGTATAGTATATTAATATATGTATAAAAATAGATATAAATATATATATATAGATATTATATAAATATAAATATATATTATAATATATATATATGCAATAAGATCACAGTAAACAGGTGATTTCAAAATATGCAAAACAACCACTCTGAAAGAATAGAGAAAATCAAAGTGCTTTCGTGACTACTCACATTATCAAGGAAACTTATGCATAGTTCCTTGCTAATTGAGTAAAATTCCCGAAAGCGCTTGAATTTCCTATATTCTTTCAGAGTGGTTGTTATCTGCATATTATATAAATGGATATAATATACCTAATATATCTATATATATGTATACTTTATATATTATCCATGGGGAAGTGGATAAGAATCTTTCCTCCGTAAGCCATGCGCGTTGAAAAGTCAGCAAAATGCCGGAACAATGGGCTATAACCCCTTTTCCCTGTAAAGAATACTAAAAAGAGTACAAGAAGAAAATTGTCAAAGTGGGAAGTCAGAATGTTGCGTGGATGTTGTGGCAAACGATAGAAAGCGATGATTGTGGATGTTTATGAATGAGAAGAAGCTGGATGTCCTGGCTTTATTAAAGTGAAACAAACTTGAAGTAGGTGGGCGAGCTTCAGAGGAGAGGAATAAATGGATAAGGTCAGGGTTTCAAATATAGTTAGAGCTAAGAAAGGAGTAGCAATAATGTTGAAGGATAAGCATGGCCTGAAAACAGGGACTATAAATAGAATTAATTCAAGGATTATGTGGGGTAAACTAAAGATTGGATTGTGAAAAGTGGTTAAAATAAGCGTGTATGCCCTGGAGAAGAGAGAAGTGTAGAGGAGAGAGGAGAGATTTATTAGGAATGTTAGAGTGAATAGCGTGGGGAGAATTTGAATCAAGTTTGCGAGTACATGGGGGTTGGGGGATTTTCAATGCTAAATTGGTAAAAATGAAATGGATGGAGTAGTAGTAAATTGGGGTGCCCGGGGTAAAATGTAAATGGGGAGCCTTTAATTGATCTATGTGTAGAAATAGATTTGGTAATAATACATATATTATGAAAAAGAGGTGATAAATAAATTATACAAGGTATTATGTAAGCAATGTAAAGAAAGTAGTTTCTTTAGATTATGTATTGGTGTGGATAAAGGTTGATGGGTGAAGAATCCAGGATGTACATGTTTTATAGATGGGCAACTGATATATCGGATCATTATTTAGTTTTAGACTACAGTATAGTAAAGAGTGTAGATGGGAAAGAGGCAGGTGTCAACACAAGTAAAGGGGTAAAGTGTATAAACTAAGGGAGAAAAAGTTCGGGTGAGATCTAAATAAGGCGACTATATGGCAGAACGGTGGCTAGTGGCAAAGATGAGTAAGTGGGGGGGTTGAAGAGGTGTTTGGCTGAGTTTCTATCAATGCAGTAATAAAATGTGGGGACAAACCAGAAGTTTTGATGGTAAAGTGAGGTGGGGGCAGGCGGAAAGAGGAGTGATTGGTGGAATGATGAAGTAAAGGGTGTGATACAAAAGAAACCGGTAGCTTATGAGAGTTATTACAAAGCATGAAGTGTTAAAGAAGAAGCAAGTAATATGGAGAGTAAAAGAAAGGTGAGAGAGTGGTGAGAGAGTGCAAAGAGAGCAGATGAATAGAGTTGGGAGAGGCACTGACAAAAATTTTAATGAAAAAAAGAAAAAATTTTGAGTGAGTTAAACAAGTTAAGAAAGCCTAGGGACCATATGTGATTGGTCAGTTAAAAACAGAGTAGGTGGGTCAGTAGCTGGGGAGAATGGAGGTATTGAGGTAGATGGAGCGAGAAATATTTTGAGGAACTTATAAATGTTAAGGAAGAAACAGAGCCGTAATTATTCAAAGCACAGGTCAGGGCGACTACCATCTTTTAGGCAGTGAAGAAGACGAATGAAAGTGTGGGGGAGGTACTTGAGGCATTACGTAAAATGACAGAGGGGTACAGCCAGCTGAACTGATGGGATCAGACAGACAATTTAAAAGCAGGGGGAGAAGATATATGTTGGAGTGGTTGGTACTTTTGTTTATAAACGTATAAAAGAGGGGAAGGTACCTAGGGATTGAGCAGAGAGCATGTCTAGTCCCTTTATATAAAGGGAAAGGGGACAAAATGAGACTGTAAAACTTTTAGAGGAATAATTTTACTGAGTATACCAGGAAAAGTTACGGAAGTGTTAAAATCGTAAAGAATTAGAGGTAAGACAGAATTAGAATTTGCCGATGAGCAAGGAGGTTTTCAGAGTGGGTAGGGGATGTGTAGATCAAGTGTTTCCATGAGATCATATAATGAACCGTATTATATAATGTAGGGACTTTATATTACATTTAGGATTTAAGGAAAGGCATAGAGGAATAGAGTGGATAGAGGGCAGCATGTGGCAATGTTGCAAATATATGGAAAAGTGGTAAGTTAATAATGCTGTAAAGAGTTATTTATGAGGATATGAGCTCAGGATAGGGTGTGTAAGAAGAGAGGTCTTAGACAAGGGATTTGTAATGTCACCATGGTTTGTTTTAATTATTTATAGATGGGGTTGTAAAGAAGTAAATGCTAGTTGTTTGGAGAGGGGTGGGATTAAATTTTGGGGAACAAATTCAAAAAGAAAAAAAAAAGGAAATTGTGACACAGTTACTTTATTGCTGATGAAACTGTGGCGTTAAGGTAGATTCTAAAGAAAAAAATTTGCAAAGGTTAGTGGATGAGTTTGGGAATGTGTGTATAGTAGAAAGTTGAAAGTGATCAATAGAAAATAAGGTATGAGGGTGTCACATTACTAGATACAGAAAAATGGATATCACATTGGGTTGAGAAGGTGAATGGAAGAAGTGAATGTTTTCACGATACTGGGAGTTGGACCTGTCCGGCGGATGGATTTAAGAAGGATGAGGGTAATCATAGAATTGATTAGGAAAAAAGGTGAGGGGTGCGTTGAGGTATATGTGGAGTCCAAAAACTTATCTATGGAGGCAAAGACGGGAATGTCTGAAGAGTATAGTAGTACCAATACTCTATATGGATGTGAAGCTGGTGGAAATCCAGCAGCGAGCGAACGAGTTTGGAGGCGTGGAGATGTCCTGTCTAAGGCAATGTTGTTGTCAATATTAATGCAGAAAATTCGGAGTGTGGAAATTAGGAGAAGGTGTGGAGTTACTAAAAGCTTAGTCAGAGGGCAGAAGAGGGGTTGTGAGGTGGTTTGATCATTTAGAGAGAATGGATCCAAGTAGAATGACATGGAACGCTATAAATCTATAGGGGAAGGAAGGAGGGGTCGGGGGTCGTCCTCTGAACAGGGTTGGAAAGAGGGGGGTAAAGGAGTTTTTGTGGCGAGCGGGCATGGACTTCCCGCGCAAGCGTGCATGAGCGGTGTTAGATCTTGGAGTGAATGGAGACAAAATGAACCTTGGTGACCTGACGATCTGTTGGAGTGTGAGCAGGTAATAATTATTGACGGATTCAGGGAAACCGGTTAATTTCATATAGTCCGGACTTGAGTCCCCTGGAAATGGGAAGTACATGCCTGCCACTTTAAAGGAGGGGTTTGGGATATTGGCATTTGGAGCGATATGTTTGTGTAGCTTATACAGATATCATTCTAAACTGTTGAATTCTGAGCACCTCTTGCAAAAACAGTGATAAATGTGGAGTAGTGTTGAAAGTTTGAATAATGATGAAAAGTATTTTTCTTTTTTGGGGAATTTCTTTCTTTTTCGAGGGTCACCCAGCCGCGGTTGGAGAAACGGCCGACTTGTTGAAAAAAAAAAAAAAATAATAAATATCGGGAGGTACCACCTCTAGAACTGTCCATGGGGACCCTCATACCTAAATATCTATTTTTTCAACAGTCGGACCGTCTCCCCCCGAGGCAGTGGTGACCCACAAAAAAAAGAAAAACCCCAAAAAGAAATACTTTCATCATCATTCAACACTTTCACCACACTCGCACGATTATCACTGATTTTTTGGCAGAGGTGCTCAACATACAACAGTCTAAAGCATACACATTAAAGATACACAACATATCCCTACCAAACTCCAATATCCCAAACCCCTCCTTATAAAGTGCAGGCAATAGTACTTCCCATATACCAGGACCTCAAGTCCGACAATATGATAATAACCGGTTTTCCCTGAATCCTTCACAATATTACCCTGGTCACACCAAAAGTACATACAAACATACATACATGCATACATACATACATACATACATACATACATACATGTACAAGTATGTGTAGTGTGACCTAAGTGTAAGTAGAAGTAGCAAGACGTACCTGAAATCTTGCATGTTTATGAGACAGAAAAAAAAGAGGACAACCACAATCCTACCATCGTGTCAAAACTTACAGCTTTTCGTTTTACACCTCACTTGGCAGGACGCTAGTACCTCCCTGGGCGGTTGCTGTCTACCATCCTACTACCTAGGATATAATTGAATTAACATTGTAATACAGTAGAGAAGTTGATGTTTCTCACCCTATACTCTAGGGTAGCATTATTATGAGCTTGGTTTATTTTTTATATACTCTGTGAAAGTATATTGTTAAATACTGTAGTTAAATGATCAGCTTGAGCCAACTTATAACTCCTACATATTCTAATTCCTTTTCCACTCTGAATCTTTTCATTTTTTTTCTATATAAAATTCACTGAGTATTTTAGCAGCAGCCATTCTTTTTTATTATTGAAAATGTTGAACATTCCTACTCTGTACATACACACATTTTTTTGCATGGATTATGTTCAGTTTTTTACTTATAAATTCTTTAAATTAAATTTCTACCAATTCTCTTTAAATTTGTTCTGTGATACATTGCTAACTGCATGCTATTCATAGGACGATGCAGAAGCAGAGCGAATAAAGGAGGAGCGATTAAAGGCATATGCAGAGAAGAAGGCAAAGAAACCTGGTCCTATTGCAAAGTCTTCAGTTCTGCTTGATTGCAAACCTTGGGATGACGAAACAGATATGTCTGCCATGGAGGCAGAAATACGTAAAATTGAGATGGATGGTCTAGTGTGGGGTGCTTGTAAGTCTTTCTTGAATCTCTTATCAGTGACTTCAGTGACCTTTCAAATGTTATAGCTGTGACATCCAGTCGTTTATAATGCCTTTTATTTCTTGTTGCACAGGGAAATCTTATACTTTTCTATTCTAACAGTAATCTGAAGCAGTATCTTTACTATTTTGCAGACATTATGTAGAGTACAATACTCTTCATAAATTGATATATTCATTCCTACCTTCAAGCAAACTGCTTCCATGTAGTCAGGATTTAATATTTACAACATTTTTTTCTGTACTTTTGCAGCAAAACTAATGCCACTAGCTTATGGCATAATGAAGCTTTCGATTCTTTGTACGGTTGAAGATGAGAAGGTCTCCATAGATGATCTAAGTGAAAAGATTCAGGAAATTGAAGATTATGTAAGTACAGTACATTAATAACAAAAAAAGGCACAATACCGTGACTGGAACGATACATAAATATCCCACACATAAAAGAGAGAAGCTTAAGACGACGTTTCGGTCCGACTTGGACGATTTACAGTCACACTGTGTGACTTTGTAAATGGTCCAAGTCGGACCGACCAAATTGGACCGACCAAATCGGACCGAAACGTCGTCGTAAGCTTCTCTCTTTTATGTGCGGGTTATTTGTGTACAGTACATTAATTCCCTTTAAATTTTCATTTGACACTTCTTCCATTTTCAAGAGGGAACTTGGAGTTATTTTAAATAATTTTTGATCAGCTCAACAGTGAATGACATGCATATGTGGATATAGTGCTCTTTTTTAATATAAATTTTGCAATCTTCATAAGCTGGATTTAGTACCCTGAATTGGCATAGAAGCTGCAAGCATTAACAGCCTGGCTGATCAGATTATTAAGTAGACATATGATGATTATAGGAACAATTTCTCAGGTAGAGGCTTTCATGGGAGTCCTGTGACACTGAAGTGTTGTGAAGTAATATTGTTTTAGAGATGCTTATAATGGGCTAGTAACCCCTTTTACCATACAGCTTACTAAAAATAAACTCAGTAGGAGACAGCTGACATGTTGAAAAAACTTGTAATTATTTTATATTGCAGGTTATATTTGTAGTTTATGTATTATTGATAATGGTTGTAGATTTTTTTTTTTTTTTTTCAACAAGTCGGCCGTCTCCCACCGAGGCAGGGTGACCCAAAAAAGAAAGAAAATCCCCAAAAAGAAAATAATTTCATCATCATTCAACACTTTCACCACACTCGCACATTATCACTGTTTTTGCAGAGGTGCTCAGAATACAACAGTCTAGAAGCATACACATATAAAGATACACAACATATCCCTCCAAACTGCCAATATCCCACACCCCTCCTTTAAAGTGCAGGCATTGTACTTCCCATTTCCAGGACTCAAGTCCGACTATATGAAAATAACCGGTTTCCCTGAATCCTGTCACTAAATATTACCCTGCTCACACTCCAACAGATCGTCAGGTTTCCCCAAATACCATTCGTCTCCATTCACTCCTATCTAACACCCCCACGCACGCTTGCTGGAAGTCAAGCCCCCTTACCCACAAAACCTCCTTTACCCCCTCCCCAACCCTTTCGAGGACGACCCCTACCCCGCCTTCCTTCCCCCATAGATTTATATGCTTTCCATGTCCCTTCTACTTTGATCCATTCTCTCTAAATGACCAAACCACCTCAACAACCCCTCTTCTGCCCTCTGACTAATACTTTTATTAACTCCACACCTTCTCCTAATTTCCACACTCCGAATTTTCTGCATAATATTTACACCACACATTGCCCTTAAACAGGACATCTCCACTGCCTCCAACCGTCTCCTCGCTGCTGCATTTACCACCAAGCTTCACACCCATATAAGAGTGTTGGTACTACTATACTTTCATACATTCCCTCTTGCCTCCATAGATAACGTTTTTTGACTCCACATATACCTCAACGCACCACTCACCTTTTTTCCCTCAATTCTATGATTAACCTCATCCTTCATAAATCACATCCGCCGACACGTCAACTCCCAAGTATCTGAAAACATTCACTTCTTCCATACTCCTCCCCCAATTGATATCCAATTTTTCTTTATCTAAATCATTTGACAACCTCATCACCTTACTCTTTTCTATGTTCACTTTCAACTTTCTACTTTACACACATTCCCAAACTCATCCACTAACATTTGCAATTTATTTCTTTAGAAACTACCATAATCACAGTATCATCAAGCAAAAAAGTAACTGTGTCAATTCCCATTTTGAATTTGAAATTCCCCATAATTTAATCCCACCCCTCTCCCAACGCCCCAAGCATTTACTTCCTTTACAACCCCATCTATAAATATATAAACAACATGGTGACATTACACATCCCTGTCTAAGACCTACTTTACCGGAAAGAAGTCTCCCTCTCTTCTACACACAACTAGCCTGATCCTCACACCTCATAAAAACTCTTACAGCATTTAGTAACTTACCACCAATCCATACACTGCAACCTCACCAAACCCATACCCCGGCCGTGATTGAAACCGCGTCAGAGAGTCTCAAAACTCAGACCGTCCGCGTTAGCCCACTACTAGACCAGCTAGCCACAAAAATAATCGTCCAACTAGGTAAATTTCTACACCATAGGCAGGTAGCACAGGCACCAACTGTGCCACCATGCAAGTTTACAGAACGAATCTCCGCTAGGCGTGCCCGTGACAAACTCTAGCTCAAGTCCCATCACTGCTGTCACAACACCGAAATCCGTAAATGACATGATTCAAACAAACCATACCCACGGGATTTAAACCCGCGGTCAGAGAGTTCGCAAAAAAACCCTCCAGAACCGTCGCGTTAGCCACAAGACAGCTAGCCACAATACGATTCGTCCAACTAGGTATTTTGGTCAACAGTGGTGCCTGTGCTAACCATCCTATGGTGTACAAATATACCTAGTTGAACGAATCTTTTTGTGGCTAGCTGGTCTAGTGTGGCTACGCGACGGTCCTGGAGTTTTGAAACTCTCTGACCGCGGGTTTCAATCCCGGCCGGGGGTTAATGGTTTTTGTTGCAGTCGTGTCATTACGATTTCGTGAGTCCTTGCAACATCTGCGACAATTTGCTCACCCTATCCCACTCAATCATATCCTTGTTCTAAATCCATAAATGCAATAAAAAATTTCCTACCTTTATCTAAATACTGTTCACATATATGCTTCAATATGTAAACACTTCAACTAACCATCCCCTACCCATCTGAAACTTTCTTGCTCATCCGCAATTCCAACATTCGTCTTACTCAATTTCTTTCAATAATAACCCTACCGTACACTTCTCCACGATAACTCCATAAACATATTCCTCTATAATTTTTACAATCTCTTTTGTCCCCCTTCCCTTTATATAAAGGACTATACATGCTCTCTGCCAATCCCTAGGTACCTTTCCTCGTTGATACATTTATTAAACAAAGTACCAACCACTCCAACACAAAATCCCCCCCTGCTTTTAACAGTTTCTGTCATGCTCCCATCAGTTCCAGCTGCTTCACCCCCCTTTCCATTCTCCGTAATGGCCCCACGTACGACCCCCACACTACATTCTGCTCTTCTTCACTCCTAAAAGGATGGTATACCTCCGGGGCCAGCATGAAATTACCGCCTCCCTTTCTTCCTCAACATTTAACAAGTCCTCAAAATATTCTCGCCATCTACCTAATATACCTCCCTCACCCCATCTACTAACTCCCCTACTCTGTTTTTCTGACAAATCCATACGTTCCTAGGCTTTCTTAACTAGTATTAACCTCGCTCCCAAAATTTTATCTTATTTTCATTAAAATTTCTTGACAGTGCCCTCCCACTCTATCATCGCTCTCCTTTTGCACTCACTTCCCTTTCTTTTACTCTCCAAATACCTCTGCTCTTCTTATAACACATCTCTTTGTAAAAACCCTCTCATAAAAGCTAACATTTCTCTTTTTATCACAACCCTTACTTCATCATCCACCAATCACTGCCTTTGTCGCTCCTGGCCCACCCTCCTATAACCCAAACTTCTGCCCACATTCTAATACTTGCCTTTATTAAAACTCATCCAAACCCTCCTCACCCCCCCCCCCCCCCACTACTCCATCTTTGCACTATCCCCACCTTTCTTCCACTAGTCGCTTATATTTCACACCGAACTTCCTCCTCCTTTAGTTTATACACTTTCACTTCCCTCCTACTTGTTGTTGCCAGACCTTCCTCTGTCCCATCTACCTCTTACCCTAACTGTAGCAATAAATAAATAATAATGATCCGATATATCAGTTGCCCCTCTATAAACATGTACATCCTGGAGCCTACCCATTAACCTTTTATCCGCCAAAACATAAATCTAAACAAACTTACTTTCATTACGTGCTACATCATACCTTGTATATTTAATTTATCCTCTTTTCATAAAATATGTATTACTATTTACCAAATCTCTTACTGCACATAGCTTCAATTAAAGGCTCCCCATTTACATTACCCATGGCCTGGCACCCCAAATTAACCTACTACACCTCCACAACATTTTTACCCACTTTAGCATTGAAATCTCCAACCACAAGTACTCTCACACTTGGTTCAAAACTCCCCATGCATTCACTCAACATTTCCCAAAATCTCTCTCACTCTCCTCCCTTACACACTTACACTCTCTTCCTCCAGTGCATACACGCTTATTATAACCCACTTTTCACATCCAACCTTTATTTTACTCCACATAATCCTACTTGTTGGAAAAAAAAAAATTCTCTAAAAGTTGTTTGGTCCAGGCACTAGCACCACGTCCATCTCACAGTTATGAACTTGGCAAATATTACTTAGTCCCTCAAGGAAGGTTCCTTAATGCCAGTGAGAGGCTCTTGAACCAAGGAATTGGATCTGACCTTTTTGGGTTGATCTTGATTGCTTCCCATTACCCTAGGTGCACTAATGATAATTTTAATGGAAAAATATTCATCTCTGAAAGCTTAATTTTAGTGTTTAAATGCCTCTCTGCTCTGTAGTAGTACTAAATAGATACATTTGTAGAGGAAGTGCTAAATCCATAGGGTGCATACAGCACCTGGGGGATGGGAGGTAATAAAATTAGATTCAAGGAAGAGGTTAGCTTCATTTCCTTGAACCAAGAGTCCTTACCAGCATAAAGGAGGAGTACATATTACCACAGTGCAATTTTACTACTTAGAATAGTAAGTTTTAGATATAGCATTGGAACTGTTATTGAAAGAAATTAAGGAACATTGTTAAAGTAAGAAAGAAAATTGTTTAGTTCATTGTATGAATTTGACTGATAAACTTTTATTCATGAATTTTTTCTTGGAAAGGAAATATTTTATATTTCCATAAAATGTTTTGTGTCCGTTATAATGGGATATCTTGGTATAGGCCCCATGATTAACTCTAATATAATAGTTATTTTAGGTCATAAAGCAAATGTACTGTGACAGCAATTAATGTACATATATTTTTTATTTCAGGTTCAAAGTGTTGATATTGCCGCATTCAACAAAATCTAAGATGCCATTCATTCCAGTGCTAATTGAATAAAAGTCACTTTATACACGAGTATGTTTTTTTTAATACCTGTATCCCCATTATTGTAGTAGGTTGGTAGATAGCAACCACCCAGGGAGGTACTACCGTCCTTCCAAGTGAGTGTAAAACGAAAGCCTGTCATTGTTTTACATGATGGTAGGATTAGTGGGGTCTTTTTTCTGTCTCATAAACATGCAAGATTTCAGGTATGCCTTGCTACTTCTACTTACAATAAGGTCACACTACACATACATGTACACATTTTTGTATACACACTCATCTGAGTTTTCTTTGATTTTATCTTAATAGTTCTTGTTCTTATTGCTTTTCCTTTCATATCCATGGGGAAAGTGTAATGAGAATCTTTCCTCCATAAGCCTTGCGTTTTGTAAAAGTCGACTAAAATGCCAGGAACAATGGGCTAGTAACCCCTTTTCCCATATAGCCTACTAAAAAGAAAAAGAAGAAAACCATCAAGGTTATAGATAAGAGTAAGGTGATGAGGGTATCAAATGATTTAGATAAAGAAAAATTGGATATCACATTGGAGAGAGGGAGCATGGAAGAAGTGAATGTTTTCAAGTTTTTGTCAGCTGAAGGTTTACGAAGTATGAGGTTAACCATAGAATTGATGAAGGAAAAAAGGGGAGTGGTGCATTGAGGTATCTGTGGAGACAAAAAAAATGTTATCCATAGAGGCAAAGAAGGGAATGTATGAAAGTACAGTGGACCCCTGGTTCACGAAGCCGTCGGTATCCGATAAATCCGGTATCCGAAGCATTATATCGCAAAAATTGCCCTCGGTTCCCGTTACAAAACCCGGTATGCGATACGATTCATATGAAACGTGTCCAGTGCTTACAAGCCAGCCAGTGTGCGCGCATCTAAGGATACATTCGGTACATTCTATATTATCCATATTACCACTTTTTGGTGCTTGTTTCTGCAAAATAAGTCACCATGGGCCCCAAGAAAGCTTCTAGTGCCAACCCATCGAGACCAGGTGCTAATGACTCTTGAAAATTAAGATATGTGTCCAAAGTGGCTTTGAAGTGCAAACCTTTATTGATGAAAATCAACCCCTGACACAGCTACTGCAAGCCATGTTGGCAACCATGTACACCTGACAATGTTGGGAACCACGTTAGAAAGTCATAAAGGAACGAGAGTACAGCCTCTAGGACAGATAAGTTGTGCGACAGAATCCAGTGATTCTCAAGCTGGTCCTAGTGGCATTACAAAGAATAAGGAAGTAACCCCGGAAAGGAACTTGCTACCTCCAAGTCCCTAATGGAGGGGGATTATCCCCATCAAAACATTAAAAAACTTCGACACTCCCCTCCTCCCACCCATCAATCATCACCAGATCTTCCATTAAAAGGTAAGTGTCATTATTCTATTGTTATTATTGTTATTGAATTATTATATTGCATTAAACTTAAAATATCATGTGGTAAGTTTTTTTTCATACTTTTGGTGTCTTGCACGGTATTAATTGATTTCCATTATTTCTTAAGGGAATTATTATTCGCTTTCCAATAAATTTGGTTACGTTGAACTCTCAGTGAACGGATTAATATCGTGAACCAGGGTCCGACTGAAATAGTGGTTACCAACACTCTATATGGGTGTGAAACTTGGGTTGTAAATGCTGCAGAGAGGAGGCAGTGGAGAATGACTTCTAAGGGTCAGAGTGTGGTGTCAATGTTATGCATGAGAATTCTTAGTGTGAAAGTTAGGAGGATGTGTGGAGTTACAAAAGTATTAGTCAGAGGGCTGAAGAGGGGTTGTTGAGGTAGTTTGGTCATTTAGAGAGAATGGAGGAAGATTGTTATCCTGACAGTGATTTTATGACTTGGAGAGCATATAAATCTGTAGGGGAAGGAAGGTGGGGTAGGGGTCGCCCTCGAAAAGGTTGGAAGAAGGGAGTAAAGGAGGTTTTGTGGGTGAGGGGCTTGGGATATTGGTAGTTTGGAGGAGTATGTTATACATACAGTGGTCCCCCGCTTTTCGTAGTTCCCGGCAATTGTAAAATTCGCCGATCATAGGGGTATTTTCGTATAAACATGGACTCGCTTTTCATAGGTTGACTCGCGAGTCGTAGTTCGACGGAACCCCCAAAAACCCCGGGAAAAACGCACGGTGTGGGCCAGGCGGCAGCCAGTCTGGCTTGTTTACCATGAGCGAATTCCCTCCGCGTGCTCCAGCGAAATATTTCCTAATATTTCCATTTTTTTAGTGCTAGCAAGTACAAAATAAAGCGACAATGGCTCCAAAGAAAGCTCCTAGTGCCAAGCCTGTGGGAAAGAAGGAGAGAATTAAACGAATTGAATTTAAGAAAACTAAACCACATTGAACAATATAAAGTGGTACAAGTGATGGCGAACTGTCAGGATGTATAAGAAACACAACACAACCTTATGTTCCATAGTGGCCAATAAAATGAAAATAAAGTATGCTGTTGATGCAAAGGGAGTAACAATGCTGACAAAAAATGAGATTCACCAGTACTGGAAGAGTTGAGAATTTATTATTGTTGAGGATAAAATTAGAAAACAATTAGCAGGAGATACTCTAATGACTTCGTTTATTTGTGAAAAGCTAGCAGATGCATGAAGACTGGTTAAAGAAATTGCCTGCAATAGTGGGAAGTGAGTGGATTTAAGGCCAGCAAAGGCTGGTTTGAGAGATTTAAAAGAACCGTACTGGCATACACAGTGTGGTAGGCACGGTGAAGCTGTTCAGTTCCGACCAAAAGTGGCTGAAAATAAGTGCATGAATTCCAGGGTACATAGAAGCTGAAGGACTAAACCTGAACAAGGTACAATTGTGATGAAAACAGGCCCTCATTTGGAAAAATGCCAAGAGGACCTTCATTACCAAGAGGCAAAGCAATGCCAGGACATAATCTACGAAAGACGAGCTGAACGCTAATGTTCTGCACTAATGCTCGTGGGGATATCAAAGTGAATGCCATTACTAAGAGTACCATTCTGAAAATCCAGAGTGTTCAGGAAAAACAATGTTTATAAGTGTAAATTGTTTAGTGTTTTTTGGAAATCTAATAGAAAGGCATGGGTCACTAGGGAAATTTTCCGTCGATGGTTCAATTGAAGTGTTTGGCCTAGTGTGAAGGGAGTATCTCTGGAAAAAGAATTGGATCCCAAGTGCGTGCTAGTAAAGACAATGCACCGCTCATCCTCCACACTTGGGATGACCTAATTTACGAGGAGTTTGAGGTTCTATCACAGTAAAGGTCTTGCTCCCGAATACACACTCCTCTCCTCAACCCATGGCCATGCAGTTATTTTATATTGCAAACTTTTTAAAAACTCTACACAAAAGCAATGTTTCACAAGGTGCTTGAACTGTGACACCAAGACACTTGACCCTAAGAGAATTTCGGAAGAGAACCTTCAGCATCCCTCCACTGCATAACCCATATAGGTATTGCTTGGGAGGGGTGACTTCCAGGACTTTGAACTCTGCTGGAGAAAATTTGTTGGCCAGAATTGTGTCGACAGAGGGATATTGAAGGATTTGGACTGACCCTAAATGAGCCTACGTCTGGTTGTAAAAATCAATTGTGGTACTGGTAGTTCCATGGTTGGATGTGAGTTTTGAGGATGTGGAAAATTGTGGAAGACCACGATGAAGAGCTCACCACTGATGAAGCAGCAAGACTTCAGCAGAAGAAGCAACACAACGCAGCACAAATCATGCAGCAGAGGAGGAGGACGAGAGATGGAAGAAGTTGCCTCTTCCGAAAATAAAGAGATTTTTACTATTGGAGGCAAGATGGAAACTTTATGGGAAACATCACCCTACAAGGTGTTGCAAGCCGGTTGGCACATGTACAGAGGAACAAAGTCTTGGCCATTTTAGGGAAGTGTTAAAGAGACCCAGAAACAGAGCTCCTCCACAGTTTATTTTGTGAGACAGGACTCCAGTTGACTCCAGGTGGCCTAGTGGCATTAAAAACAGAAATAGAACAACCCCCAGAAAAGCAAATGTACCTGAGTGTTGATGAAGTGATTCCCCTTCCAAACTATACCGCCGCCACAATCCACTCTCTTCCCTCCTCAGACTCCCATACACTAAGAGATCTCCATTAAAGTTAATTATTATATTAATATAATCAAGGGGGGAAGCGCTAAACCCGGAGGATTATACAGCGCCTGGGGTGGTGATGTGGAAGGCCTTCAGGCTAATTTGGGAACTGGAGCACAGATCCAATTCCCTAAATCAAGAGCCCCTCACCAAATCAAGGAAACCCTTTCCCTTTGGGGGGGTCCAGTAAAGGTAAGTGTTTTGCGTTAATGTTTTATTCCATTTCCCTTTTTAATTTTTTATGTACACATGTATATTCAGTAAAAATTGTTGTTTTAATCTTTGGGTGCAGGAAAGGGTTAATTGTATTTCATTTTTTCTTATTGGGGGAAAATTTATTTGTAAAACGTAAATTTCGTTATATAACGGCCCCGGAACAGATTAATTATGAAAAGGGACCCCTGACTATAATCTTCTAAACTGTTTATTTGGGCACCTTGCAAAGACATGATTTTGTGCGATAGGGGAAAATGTTTTAAAAGATGATGAAAGTTTTTCTTTTCGGGATTTTCCTTTTTTCTTTTTTTTTGGGGCACCCTGCCTCATGGGGGAGACGGCCAACTTGTTGAAAAAAAAAAAAAAAACATTTTATATGTACCACACTAATTCCCAGAAGTATGAGGCATTATGTAGCAGAAAGGAATTCAAACAATGGAGAAAAACGCAGGCTTTGGGGAGATCAAAGCTTTGAAGCTAAATTCACTATACTTTCTATGGCTCTGACCCTAACCTAAAGATGCAAAAGACAATATCTACACATTCCCACTAACAGGTGAAACATTCAAAAATCATTTCATTCACTAACCTGGATTTTGGTCATGGTGACTCTATTTTCTGCCACATAGTGCCTCGCACTGTGGCAGTAAACCTTGATGCTTAAAATGAAATTTGTTAAATTAGTGCAGTGTGTTTGACTTGCCTAACTAGCACAATATTTATTTTGGATATAGAAATATGGTGTTTGGTGGAAAGCAAAATCTGGTGTAAAAAACTTCATTACACACTAAAATGCACTTTCATTATAGTAAACATCAAGGTACAGTTAAATGAATGTCCAGAGATAGATCACTAACCTGGTGGAGTTTAGTTTATTGGAAACAAATGGACACAGAAGACAATTTGGAGATCAAACCTTAAGAGCTTTCCTTGAATTTTCCTGTATCCTCAAATATTCCATTGTAATTTTATTTTTTATTAACACATCAGCCATTTACCCACCAAGGCAGGGTGATCCGAAAAAGAAGAAACTCTTTCATCATCGTTCACTCCATCACTGTCTTGCCAGAGGTGGGCCAACACTAGAGTTCAAAAACTGCAACATATCTCCACCCCTCCAGTGTAGGCACTGTACCTCTCACCTCCAGGACTCTAAGTCCAGCTTGCCGGTTTCCCTGTTTCCTTCTTAAATGTTACTTTGCTCACACTCCAGCAGCATGCCAAGTCATAAAAACCATTTGTAAAGTACACTAATAAACAGAGATAAGTAAAATTCATATGAGTGAACACTCAGTGAAGCCAGGCTCTGGTGGCAATAGATAGAGGTCACTGAAAATTTGAGGAGTTTGGATTTCAAAACAGGATTGGTTGGCTGTGAGGAGGCAGAAGTGGTTGTAAAGAGTTAGAAGTAAGTGGAGTAGACTATTAAATACAGGCTTGGAAATGTGATGGTTAATGGTCATGGCAAAGGAGGGAAGAGTCTAAGCACTTGACTGCATTTACAATTACATTGGCAATGATCAGTGTGGAGGAACAGAATCTACAAGAGTGTTGGATATCATTTAAGCAAGCAATGATGACTTTTATCTTTTTCTCTAATAAAGGGGGAGGTAACATCATTGTGAGATTGCAAGATAATGATTGTCTAGGGCATAAAATGGGGGTTGAATGTTGTGGGAAGTAATAAGAGATTAAAGAGCTTGTGGAGGATCTAGGACATATACTGTGAAGTGAGAAAGGAATGAATCTTCAGGAGGACTAAGGAAGGGAAAGAAGGCAAAGAGGGATCTTGTGGAACTGTAGAAGAGGGTGGCCAAGTTTGAACCTCCAATACCACCCGAGAAGCAAGAATACTGTACACTCCATGCAATCTAAAATGCAAGTTTCAGAGAGCCTTTACAGTTTGTTACCTACAAAAAATAGAGGCAGAGACACCATAGGAAACATGAAATCTTGGGTAGAAGACCAATTCTATAAAGATTGTCCATAGCCTGGCCACATGAACAGAAATAGGTGAAACAAGCCCAAGCACAATTCGGACAAAGGTAGGCAGTTGTGAGGATTTGGTTGAGAAGTATCAGGGATGTGATCCAAAACAGCAGTTGTCTTAATTGCATTGATCTGTTTTGTTATTTCATTTTATTTATAAAGATCTAGATCTGTTTGACTATTCAGCATTTTGTATATTCCAATTCTATCAGTATCAAAGTTACAACTGTGATTATCAACTCACTACTGTTGTGACCAATTCACTCGTGCAAATTTTAATCACAGAGCATGTAAAACCATTCAAAGTACTTTTCATATTCCATAATTCATAGCTTATTTCATGTAATTAGTAGAAAGTGTCAGCAAATTAAGAACAAGGAGGAAATAACCACCATTTATATTGAAAGAGATGCTGCATTCTTTATCAGGCAAGCACCTTGTGGGAAAAGTGTCATCCCTCCCAAAGGTCCCTACCCCAATTAACCCCATCATTATGTTGTGATAAGCCAGCATTTGGGAAGTTTGTAAACAAAAGGAATGATGGGTATTGCAAGGAATGGTATGCAAATTGCCTCTGCAAATTAGGGCATGCCAAAGCCATAGTCAGAAACTCCAGAGGGATAATTAAGTCATTAAACAATAATACTGCAATTAAATTTCAGTTCCCTATTTCCCCACTCAGCCTAGTCCAACAAGGGAAGGTTTACATATTTACTAACAACAAACCCAAGGGCTAATAAGGAATATACATGAGTGATTATCAGAGGACTAAGCAGTATTATTATTATTATTATTATAATCAAAAAGAAGGACTAAGCAGTAGCTACCAGATTAAAAGGTTGTCCATCCTCTGTTTGCTTGGCTTTAGCCAAATACACTGCACCAGACAGTGGATTGGATGCAGGATAAGACAACTGGTTCGGTAAGACCAGCACTAGACTTTTCATTTGACCTCTGTCCTCTCACCAAAAAATCATGTATGGCCACATTACTGCATTCATGAAGTTAAACCTGTAGGGATCATACAGCCTCTGGAGGTATGGGAATCATTCAGATTTGATACATGGAAGGGGAGCACAGGTTCAGTTCCTTAGATCAAGAACACCTCACCAGCATCACGGAACATTCCCTGGAAGGAATGTATGGCTACAGCCTCATGGGCAGGTTCAACTTCCAGGCAAGTGGACCACTAGTGTAAGGGTCAGAGCACAGCAAATGCACAGGGCAGTATTTAGTTTAACCTATATGTTGTGACCACCCTGAGGGAGCCCCTGTATGTTACAACGTAATCTGTAATTCACCACCATGTACTTAAAGGAACTGTCATCAGTGGAAATGTGGTCAGTTAAATAAATATACTGTACTTAGCAGCTTCAGTGAAAGGCCAGGGCAATAAAACAATTATAATTAGCTAGATTCATATATTGATTCTGTGACACATGACAACCCTGATTTACATTAATGGCTATAGGACTAGTAAGGAGAGCAATATTGTACTCCACAATTCACATTAGCTGAAGAAAAAGACTTGCACCATCATGCCAGAAGCAGCCAAAACATTTACTGAAATAAAAGTTACACACTTTTTTTTAAATGATACGCATGGCTTTTGAAAAACAAGGCTACTAAGGTAAAAACTATGATCTTCAAATAATATAGTAGTACAAATTAAAGGCACAGCTTTAATAATACATTAGTAACCAAGTCGTTTTTGCATTATTACACTTCGATTATTGGTACAACTCGCATACAGTAAGGTAAGTAGTCACTTGTGGCATAATACTTCTGTGAAGAAGGTAGCAAACTGCAAAGTCCTTGTACAAAAAACCATTATTTCACAAGATATGAATGGTGAGCATAAAGAAGTTTGGGACACCCTACAACCCATAGACAGCATGCGACATTTTCTTCAAGTTATGATACAGAGGGGTCTATTTTTAAGTGTACTAATGATGGTCTCCATGCATAAACCTAAATACACTTAAAGCATGCTTAAAATTTTGTAGACTTAGAGATGATAATGAAAGGAAATGCCACATGAGAGCCATGAGAAGGGGATTGCCCACCTCTGTAAAGTAACCAGAATTTTGTTTAGTTACCACTTTGTAGGATTCATGAGTGAGCATACACGAAAACAATTATATAAAATTATTTTCTCCTATATCACAATTACATTTTAAAAATGTAATACAGCAAGATTAAAGTAAGGTAAAATACAATTTTTTTTCCACTAAAAAAAAGAAAAAATAATGCCTTTTAAAGTTGTCAAGTACTTTAATATATTACAGGGGCTCAGATCCCAAAATTAATTGATAAAATTCTAGATAAGGAATGGAAGAAAGGATTTTCAAAGGAGAAGGGCTTTATTAATAGGATTTCTTTTAAGGTTTTAACATCTTGGGTGCACTTACATAAAGTGGTCAAGTGTATAAATATTACAGAATTATAATCTTGTTACTTTGCTCCTTTGAGTGAAAAGGAACACTGAAAATATCTGCACTGAAAAATAAGAGTCATTTAGCTCATGGTCAGATTGCATATACATACAAACATGGAAAAAATAACTAAATATATAAATGCTTCTGTGCATGTGCTATCCTATCTGTAACTAATAAAAATACTTATATTGAAATATCACAGATATCAGAAAAGCAATCATTGCAAAATTAAGTTCATAATCTCATCTTTGGTACATAGCAAGCTATGAAAATACAAAGCACCTAGATTCATTTTTTATACATACAAAAAGTTTAAATTATATGGCCTTCGTATGGCAGAGGACTGTACTTATATATCAAGGCCTTTAACCAGTATATTTAAGAATATATGTCAAGCATTTCAGTCAGCATATGACCTATTCACAGGCATTGAAACTTATATTGGCTCCCACTACCCCTAATTAGAGTAACTTCAACCATCACTTGAATTTTTGCAATTTCATAAAATTTTGCTCTATAATTCTTAACAAAAAGCAAAATTAATAAAATATAAAATAAATACTTCATTTGTTCTATGCATATCTAAATGGCACATTGCAGAGCCAGTTATTGTATTTGTTATATGGCACTAGAGATCTAAATCTCCATGAATCATACGCAACCTCTTTCAATTAAACAAAGAGCATTGGTTGACTAGAGGAATCACGGTATTGATTTGGACGATCACTAGCAGCAGAGAAGCAGCCTGCTTAAATTGAGTGAGAAGTCACAAAAGGCAATATATATTAGAGAGATAAGTAAATGCAGCATTTCCCTCAAGATATAAATATTCTACTTTTAGATGCCCCTCAAGGAAGGTTCCTTGATGCTGGTGAGGGGCTCTTGATCTAGGGAACTGGATCTGTGCTCCAGTTCCCTGAATTAAGCCTGAATACCTTCCACATCCCCCCCCCCCAGGCGCTGTATAATCCTACAGGTTTAGCGCTTCCTCCTCGATAATAATAATACTTGAGACGAGATTTATTTGTTATAGCTTTATAATTTTCTGAGCACAATACTGAGCTTATATTGTCTTGCTAATGCATATGTTTCTCTTAAATGCTGAGGCAAAATAGTTAGCATACATCCACATACGTATTCTGATTTCACTGGCAAAATTCCTGGGTCATTTTTTTTTTTAATTTCAGCACAGAATTATACCTTGCTGTTGAAAAATATGATCTAGTAACATATTCAAATATTTTTTGTGATTATGGGCTTCCAAACTAATTTTTAAATTATGTATAGGAAATGTGTCATTCCCAAAATAACATTGAAATTAACATACCAATATTGTATATTTCAGTTCAACTAAACTGGATGGGCAAAATTTAATATATTATTTCAAATCTAAGGTAGAAGTTGCCTTTTTACCAGAGCCTTTACTGTCATCTTTACAGAATGTATTTGAGCGGCTGCCTACAGCTGGTGAGGGTGTAGCTGTACTACCAATTGGTCTACTTGTTACACTGGAAGATCTACTTCTGCACCCTATTAGTCCTGAACCAAAAGTGGATGAGGGTGTTGGGCTAGTACCTTTTCCTGCTGCTAGTCCAGCAACACGTCCAGACTCCCTCATGGGAGACCTAGTAGTTCTTCTCCCCATGACTGCTCCTCTTGTTCTTGTGATATTTCCATTCTTGAGATCACTCGGTCTCCTCGGCTCTGTCTTGTCAACCTTGGGAGTTCTGGGAGTGTGGGAACCACTATCGGATTGGCACTGTGGAGATGGCTGACCCTCTTGTTGGCTACGATTTGTCTTGCTGAGATTTGTGGTACTGCTACGGAGCTCTGGTCGTCGGGTGGGTGTTCGAGATCTTACTTCTGTTGACTGTGTCCGAGCAAGCTGCATTAAATAGTTTGTATTAGTGCAACCTAATATATTTATTATTTTATCTATAGAAAACAGTGCTTGAACCTTACAAAGCTGAGCATGACATGCGGGAAAAAAAATGAGTGCAAATACTGTACTATTTAAAATAGTATAGTAGTAGTAAGCACGTACAGTACAACCCTGATATCAAGTACACATGTAACTAAGAACCCCTTTAGCTTGAACCAAACCTTTTGGCACTGTTCAAGTTGGAAATTCCCAATAATTCTGAATTAAATTCTTAGTTTTTTTAGGTGCCAGCAGGGAGCTGTGGTCAACCAGTTGATGTTAACTGCCTTTTCCAGTTAAGCTTACATTTATGTACCAGCAGCAGCAGAGATATAACATGGCTTCTGAACCAATAAACAAAATTTTCAACTTTTTACACTGCTTGACTACAAGATTATTTCTCTACCTGAGGATACTGGTGATAGTGATAAGCAAGATATCCAATCCATCAAAATGCAAGAAGACTAGTATAAAGCTCGGATAACTGTACAGTAATACTACAGGTGCAGCAAGTGCGAGACCTCATGTCCAGTGAACTGTAAGAATCCAGTAACTACTGAGAATGTAGTATACTTATGAAATAAATTAGAAGAGTAAGTACGTAATTTACATTTACAGGCAAATTTCTCAAATGTTACCCCAAAAGTGGCTGTAATGTGTCAACTTGCTAACAATGAAATGGAACACTAGGACATTTTGTTGGAAATGTTTGTGTCCTGGGAACTTGGTCACTCCAAATGTAGGAAGACAGGTGTAATTCCTTACTATTTAAATCTAAGTGGCAGTGAGGTTAGGTGGATGAAAACCTTTGTATATCTTTAATAATAGGCTGGAGCAAGTATGTGAGTGAAAGGTTTGAGCTTCAGGACTCACTCAATGGGATAGTAAGTCTTTTGCAGTGCCCCTCCATTCTTAAGCGAATCGTCTGACTCCCATATCCACTACGAGACTCACGAAATCGTCATGACACAGTTACAAACAAACCATACCATGGGTGGTTAATGCGTTTGTCTGGAGTTTTGAGACTCTGATCATGGGTTCTAACCCCACCCGTGGTATGGGTTGTTTCCGTATTTACTGGTGGGTGGAGCAATACATGTTCATCATGTAATGATATGTAATGGCAATACTGTAGCTTCCTACTCTTTGTGGGAGTATTTGTTATAGCAGTCAGAGAGGCTTTCAAACATGAGCATCTGCTGTGATCTGGCTCCTTGAAGATCATCTGTGCACCAGTTTAACTCGGGTGTGTCTCCATGTGTAGGCCACAAATATATAGAGACACCTGATAAGTTGGACTCTGGTGCACAGATGATCTTCATGGAACCAGATCTCAGCAGATTCTGGTATTAGGAAGCCTCTATGACTGCTGCAACAAATATTGTTGCAAAGAGCAGGGAGCTCCAGTAGTGCCACAAGACTACAAATAATAATCAAAAAAGCATAACATTGCCCACCAATGGATACAGACATCAGATTTACAAAAGGAGGGGCACTGAAAAAGGCTTACTGGCCTATGCTAAGTGGGTCCTTAAACTCAGCCTGTGCTCATACATTTTTTAAAGTTACCCAAGGTTTTTTTCAACTGCCTAACCTTGCTGCCACTCTGGTGCCTTCCTGATTATCGAAGCCTAAGTCTTCCTAACCTCATGTACAAATGGAGTGATGAAGGTCCCAGGGCAAACTCTCCCAATGAAATGTTTGAGTATTTGCCTTTTATGTCTTTACCAACTACTATTCAGCATCACATAACATTTTTACCAAAGATTTTGTTTTGAATGGGTTTGCACATACTACATTGAAAGTGTACCTATTTCTCGGCAAATTTTAACTGGTCAGATATTTTAAAGAACTGAAGATCAAAAATCTTGTGAATAATCATGTCAAAAAAAATGTCATGGTATTCGTCTATTTACAGTCTATTGACGCTGGCTGCTAGAGACGTGAGGACAACAATTCAAATGACACTCCAAACTGCATTATCTCCACCTGTCCTCCCCTCAGGGAAGGTTCCTTGATGTTGGTGAGGGGCTCTTGATTTAGGGAATTGGACCTGTGCTCCAGTTCCCCGAATTAAGCCTGAATGCCTTCCACATTCCCCCCAGGCGCTGTATAATCCCACGGGTTTAGAGTTTCCCCTTGATTATAATAATAATAATAATAATCCACCTGTCCTCCAGACTGCATGCACTGTACTTCCCACCTCCAGAACTCAAGTCCAGCTAACCAGTTTCCTTTATTCCATTTGTTAAAGTTGCCTTGCTCACACCAAACAGCAAGTCATATCCCTAAAGCCACTTGTTCTACTCCCTCAGATCTAATGTACTCTTAGTACATTATATTATTAACACTATGGTATACTACTATAAAAATCTACCCCAACCCTTACTTAACTAATTATTTTTATTTGATTGTCACTCTAAAACTTTCAATTATACAGCATATGCAAAAACTGTTAGATTAAGACTTGTCAGAAATGCTGTGCATCATGTGGGCTCTGTACGAAAAACACCAACATTATATACTGTATTCATTTTGACATTTGTATGTACAGTAAAGTTTCTGTAAATGTTTGACCCTACAAGGGAGGTTCTTTGATGCTGGCGAGAGGCTCGATCTAGAGAATTGGATCTGTGCTCCAGTTCCCTGAATTGAGCCTTAGTGCCTTCCATCCCCACCCCCCACATGCACTGTAGAATCCTACGGGTTTAGTGCTCCCCCATGATTATAATAATGTAAATGTTTGAATGACAAGATATGAAAACACAATATCAGTCTTGTAAAGAACAGTAGCCACATTCCTGAATACCACCATGTTCTCATTTTTTTTTCGAGGAAAAAATGACAATGTATATAAAACATCTGGTTGTGTTAAACAATTCTGAAAGCAAGATTCACCATTTTTTTTTTCCCTAAAACATTTAAGTACAGTACAATAACAGATTCTGATAACGGAACAGTAAATCTAAGAAACTAAGTTATCTTCTGTAGAAAAATCATCAGATTCTAGAAGCTTTCTATTTTAACCCGTAAACGGTCCAAATGTATATATACATTTTTTTCAACATTTGAAAGTATGTAAAAAAAGATCTTTTTGTTTTTTTACATTTGAAAATGTGTAAAAATACTTTGATCTACTTTTTTTTTTGTTATATTTGAAAATATGTAAAAAAAACGTAGATCTGCTTGGACCGTTTACGGGTTAATGAACTGCAGACATATTAACTCGTTAATTAAATCACTGTGACAGCAGACATGCTCGTATAGTTTCCACATGGTATATTCTTGATGAATAAATGTTGAAAGTACATACAATACTCTTTATTTTAGCATAATGTCCACTTGGAGATAACAGATCTCTATCTACTTAAAGTTTCATACACTATTTGCATTTATGAATTCACCTGTCTAGCAGTACACTATTACACTGTAGCTTTTTAATGTTGCATCCATTTTCTGTACAGTCTCTCAGCATACTGGCCCAGGAGCTGTTCTAAAACTAATAGCATCCCTATTTTCTAGTACATTAACAACAGAAATAACCCTAGAATACAATCTTTCAAAACTTTAGTACCCTCTATGGAGACAAAATATGCAGAAGTCTAAACACACTATGCAAATCTCTGCTCCTATACCACAAATGAAGACCAAAGCAACACGACTATAACAATACGTGAACTTGTGACTAGTGCAATGCAAAACAAAGCACAGATGATTGTGTCCAATCATTTGCACTAAATGACATCAACTATATGCTCAAACCTTAGTTTCATTTCCAGACCCTTCGTTTAGGGATGCCAAAGTGCGAACTTGTGGAGTGGTGCTGGATTTTCTGAGTGGCAACTCATCCTCAGAAGCAGAGCTACCTGTGGTCTAGGAAAGAAGAGCAGTAGAAGCAAATTATTACTTCTGCGACTTTGACACATAAAGCACAAGATGCTGAATCAGCAAGATAAACTCTTCTTAGCATGCATGTGATAAAAATATTCATAATAAGCAATCAATGAGGGCCATAACCTCACTTGGCTGTCTTTAATGTAAAATCTCAATCCGTCCTCCTAAATTCTAAGTCAAGTTCTTACATGATGTTACCAGCAAATTTATAAAATTATGCTGCAATATTCAGGTTAGTTTTTTAACAAACCAGTGTCTCTCACCAAGTTAGGGTGACCCCAAAAAATAAAATAAGGAAATACAGTACATTCACCATCATTTATTCAATGATGTATTGCCAAAAGCATCCAGACATCAGTATTCAAGTGATCTTCCGAACCTCAACATTCCCGCCACCCACCTCCACAGTGGAGGCAGTGCGCTTCCCACCTAAAAGACAAAACTACTGCCAACTGGTTTATCCAAATTCCTTCATAAGTGTTACTTTATTCACACTCCAGCAACATATCAATCCAAAACCACTTATCTCCACTCTCTCAGATCTAACACATTCACACAAGCCTGTTGCATACTCAGGCCCATAGTACTTTAAACCACCTTTACTCCCTCCCTCCAACCTTTCCTGAAATATACCACAACACCAATAAATAAAACAGAGGCAATGAAAATTTTTGAAGCAAATGGGGACCTACTGAGCGCACTACACATTAAGATAATGACAGTTTAAGGCTTATGTAACAATCATATACTGTATCCAATTATCTTAACAGTGGCGAAGTACAAACTTTGATTAGGAGGATCGTCTGGAAGCTTGTTGTAAAAGCATTATATTCAGAAAGCTTAAGACCATCTAGGTTTGCATTCATGCCAATTTGAAAGTAAAAAACGTTATTGGATAAATAGTATAGACTAGAGCTCAGCTAGCTCATCTAAAAATAAGGTTTATATATATCTATCAGCAAGCCAAAGATCAGAAAAAAAACAGTTCAACATGCTTATGAAAGTGTATATGTAGTCTATTGTACTATACTTAACTTTCCATGATGGGAAAATAAAATTCATATTTTAAAATAAAAAATTTCAAACAGAAATGGGAGTTTTTAATACGTAAATTTTTATATAAATTAAAATACTAAAATGCATGTAATAAAAATAAAAACTAGAAGATTGCTAAACAATGCAATTTTTTTTGCAAGACATGAAAGACATGAGACATTTTTATTCGTTGTTAAAACAACTTGTGAAATGAGAAAAGACATCCAAAGATAAAGTGAATCGTTACTTCACTGTTAGAAAAACTGCTCAATATAACCAAGATTTTTAGTGCAGTATTGTAAAATGCTTTAATATAAACATAAATAAGTACTTATGAATTCAACAAGATAAGTTTGTTATTTTTTAAATTTCTTTAACTAGTTACGCAAAAGCAAATACAATACAGAAATATAAGGAAAAAAGTGACAAAATTAGCAAGAAAATACAAAAAGAATGAGAAAATAAATTTACATATAGCTTTTTAAGTAAACCTGAATGTATCCTGAAGAAAAAAAAAAAATTAGTAACCCAGAATGGTTCATTATCATACTGCAATTCCACATTCCCGTAGCTTTAACAGTCACGTACTTACCTTCTGGATTATTCTGAATAAACGTGTAGTCTTCTACTAAGCTTTTGAGTATTCTTGATAATTATATACCAAATATTCTCTTCAAACTCTTATACAGACACTTTACTTTATTGGTAAAAAAAAAAAAAAGAGCCACCAGCTTGTTGGGTGGTCGTGAGGACATCGATTGTGGCCCCCAAGAGCAGATTTTGAAAAATCTGTGGAATTTCCTGACCAATTTCACACATTACTTAGCTTTTTTTTCTCATTTATCTTGTTTTTAGATTTACGGAGAGTTAAACTGCAGAAGGGTTTTATGGCATTAAGTCAAAAAAAATCTTTATGCATAGTTGTGTTATGGGTGGATTACTATGCTACAAGCGTAGAAGATCCACAACTGATGAAATTATCAAATGTTCTAAAATGAAACCATACTCACATATACAGTATTCACCTGCATAAGATGTTAACAGAAGGGGAGATCAGTAAAACCTTCCATACAATAATTCTAGTTTGAGATATATTTACTTACCTTAATATTACTGTTAGGTGAAAGGACACGTGCAATTAATGCAACATTTTACTGTGGCAATGTTTCACTCTCCAGGAGAGTGAAATGTTGCCACAAAATGTCATATTACTTGCAAGTATCCTTTTACCTAACACTGTTGGTAATTTTACCATCATTCTTAATATTACTGTATTACATCCAGGGGAAAAGCTAAACCTATACTACTACTTCTTTCAACAAACCGGCCGTATCCCACTGAGGCAGGGTGGCCCAAAAAGAAAAACAAAAGTTTAAACCTATACTTCTTCTTTCTTTCAACGCACCAGCCGTATCCCACCGAGGTGGGGTGGCCCAAAAAGAAAAACAGAAGTTTCTCGTTTTAAATTTAGTAATATATACAGGAGAAGGGGTTACTAGCCCCTTGCTCCCGGCATTTTAGTCGCCTCTTACAACACGCATGGCTTATGGAGGAAGAATTCTGTTCCACTTCCCCATGGAGATAAGAGGAAATAAACAAGAACAAGAACTAGAAAGAAAATACAAGAAAATCCAGAGGAGTGGGTGTATATATATGCTTGTACATGTATGTGTAGTGTGACCTAAGTGTAAGTAGAAGTAGCAAGATGTACCTGAAATCTTGCATGTGTATGAGACAGAAAAAAAAAAGACACCAGCAATCCTACCATCATGTAAAACAATTACAGGTTTCCGTTTTACACTCACTTAGCAGGACGGTAGTACCTCCCTGGGTGGTTACTGTCTACCAAACTAGTACTACCTAGAAACCTATACTTACTTTAATAAATTAAGAAGTGTGAGATAATAAATACTTTCCACTTACTAGTAATAAATCTATTGCAATACAGCAAGCCATAGTTTACACAAGGATATTGATGTACCGTGTGACTTGGTGTGCGATGAATAATTGTGGTTCTCCGGGGCAACTGGGAGACTTCTGGAAGTCCTGAAGTGCATAGCTGCGTAGACGAAGGGGCTGGTGCTCTGGTTGGGGTTTGGGGATTTGGTCGATTCGGTTCAGGTCGAGAGAGCGAGCGGGTAAATGTTGCCCCCCGGGTGAAGCCCCCAATCGGAGTCGCTCGTTTGTTACTAGAATGGGTATCTTCGTCTGTTGAAGTGTCATTTCCCTAAAAATAGCAATAAAAAGTTGGCATTTCTTGTGTTCAATTCAAAATAATAAATTCCATTATTTCTCTGTTATACATATTCAGAAATATATTCTACCATTCTTCAAATCAGACCTGATTACCCCACCAGTTCCCATCACCCAGGTCCTGTATGATCTTTACAGGGGTTAGCTCCTCCCAATATATTATGAAGATGACGTATTGGATAATAGGTATTTTGTGTTCTTTTTTGTTAATGCATTTTCTTCTACCATCCATATTTCCTGTCATATTTCTAATAATGCCCAATGATTTTAAAAATCGTAGAGAAGGCTGCCCAGATTATGTATCTCAAATGATTTGCTGGCCAACAATGATGTACCATTATTGTTAGTAAAGATGCTGAACCTTGAACTCTAAATAATGTAATTTACAATTTACTTTTACATTACTACAATTTAACAACTTAAGAAGTTGAACAATATGAAGTGAGACCTAGCAAACTTATCTCTGTGTACAGATATAACATCTAAGACATGGATGAATCTCTGTATTACTGTTGGGTTAGAAATTTAGGATTATGGTTGGGTACATCGTACCTAATATGGGAAAGTATACTGTTTGTGAAATTACTACTAGTATTTTGTGTCAGCTATGAATACTAAATTTAAATTTTTTTGTTTAGGCACAGGCCTAGATATCTGCCTTTGTCTGTCTCTTCCAAATGTGTGTTTATTTGGTTAGTTGCTTAATTTAATTACAATGATAAAGTGAAAAAACAATTGTGAACAACTGCACCAAGTGTGTCCACTGAGCTGTTCTAAAGTTTACTGGATATGATTGGGAGGATACTGTATTTTTAACAACTAAGACAAAGCTATGAAGTATTCTCATGATGAGGATACATGACAGCTCTAGAAATATACTATTTCAATATTTATATAATGGGGAAATATGGATGCTGAGGAAGTGAATAGAAGAAACTATTTGGGAGAATGGAAGGAAATTAATTTCAATCCAAGTCCCATTCCATTAACCAGGAGCCCCTCACCAGCATTAAGGAACCTCCCTTGATGGGGTTTGATAAGGAAATGCTTTTAAAAAGCTCAAGAAAGATGTAGGCCCAAACCCAGAATCTTATTCCCTTTTTTAGATCGTTGTCCTTTAGTCAGGATGAGAATAGTCGTGTTTGTTTGACCACTAATTGGTTAAGGAAACCTCAAGCCAATTATGAGCTTGTCCATAAGAGATTATACCCATACCCAAAAGGCATGCTTTAGATAAATTGTTGAAAGTCTAACCATCTGCTTTTTTTGTAACTAAATTTTGATAGTACCAAGCTAGTTCAAAAAGAGGCTACATACATTTTAACTACAGTATACAAATAAGAAGCAAACTACTGTACTGTTAATCTGAAGAGAGTAGGAGTGCCATTTTAATTCTGCAAAACTGTCATGAAAATATTTGGAAAGTAAGTTGAATAATACCTAGAAGCAAAATGAGAGTTAGTGCTTGAAGCTTATCTTGAAATGTGTACAATTATTATAGTTATGTAAGTAAATTAGATGAGCTTTTATTGTCTGAAGTAGAAGAGTTGCTTGTGAATATATCCCCACACACAAACCAGTTGTAGAATAGCACATTCCCTCTCTTTGCAAAGACAAATCAGGTGCAGGGTATAACACCTTCATGATACACTCTCACAGAAATGCAAACTAAACTGATCACTGAAATCAGACCTACTGTACTAGTACATCATAAAATACCCTATCTATACAAAGGGTAATTGTCTAATCACAATACTCAGTAAAACAATAGTGTATGCCATCATCGTAGAGAAAAACTGCCGATAAGCTTCATGCTGCGAAGTGTTGAATACAAGCACATCTATTGAACCATTATGGCTCTCCACCACATGATTAAAAACATCTTAAAAAATGACTAGCTGTTTATAGAAATAAAAAGTACAAGAGAATATAGGGCACAAATAATGGTTTCATTCAGCTAATCTGTATGCAAATTTGAATGTGATTTTACTGAACAATGTTTGAGGATCTGAAAAACAAATAAGCCTCACTTGTACAACTAAGGCTTCCTGTTTTGTCTGTAAATCCATAATGAAACAAATGGTAAACATTTGTATGTGATAAAATGCAATCAACTTTATTATTTGTAAAGATGGAAAAATGACAAAATTCATTAAAAAACAGAATACCTTGCTGTCGTCTCAAGTGTACAAATACTGTAGTGTTGCAGAAGCAAAGCAGGATTAGGTTTGCTAAAATACACTGGGACTTACTGCTGTGGAAGATTAATGCCAGAGAATATGATATAAGGATGTTAGGGCATTTGTACATTTCATGGAAGAGAATAGGCTACTTTATTTCAGAAAATGACACAGAAAATAAACATTTAATTTTCACACTGATAAATTACAATGGTTTTATGAAGAAATAATAATTAAACAACATGTAATCATCATGAGAGAAGCTGTATAAAACACTGATTTGCATACAAGCCATTCTCAAACTTAAGAAAATCTTTGCCAGAATATTACTACATTCTTGTCAGAATCCTATGAGCAATGCTGGAGGCACTTCTTTAAACACAGGTTTTTTTTAACAAGTAGAGAACACGTTCTGTAAAAACCCACCTGTCTTGGTCTTCGAGGACGCTCGGCTACTGTTCGAGCAGACTGTGATCTCTGTATAGCTGCCTGCCTAGCTTGTGCTCGTAAAGTCGAGGCTCGTGTTGGTGGTGGTGTCTGGGTTCGAGGACGGGAGAGGGTAGCTGGTGGAGTCTGGCAACGCATGGGATCTTGGCCAGAGGCAGGTGGCCGCCGGACACCTACTCTCTGAGAAGATGGAACAGCTGTGGCACTGGCACTTCGCATCAGCCTATGGTCTCCAGATCGACCAGGAGTACCACTGCCATCACTATTGCTACCTCGTAATCTCTGTAAAGACATCTTCAGTGAAGCTTCATGTAAATTCAAGTTATATAAAAATTTATGTATCTGATGTACATGTTCTGTTTTCCTAAATTCACAGATTGTTCCTCAATTGTTGCATAAAAATAAAATTTTTTAGTATATTGCACATGTTTATTACTTACTTGTAACATTATTTATCACCATCATTATAAACTCATTTTCAAGATTAATGGGGAGACACTTGCCCAGTAAGAGTTGAAAAGTAGTGTCAAAAACTAAGGAAGATAATGACATTCATCTTTTCATAACTTCTCGTGTAGATAACGGTACTCTTAAATATGTAAATATGGCAAAATGTGGAATCTTCTTTCTTGGTACATTAATATAATCATAAGTTCAAACTGTTTGACAACACAGCAGATTTTTGCTCTCCACGTGTATTATCTCCCTAATTGTTTTTCCGGAACTCTTACAACAATTCTTGTTAATGAGATAGGTCAACAGCTTAAAGGACTATTCTGTTACAATTTTCTTAATACAATACCAGTGCAATGTGTGTGCCTCTTACTATTATATCAGTTTACCTTCTTATATAGAAATCCTCCTAAATTGCCAGAGAGGGTAGGTTAACTCATACTGTTTATTTGTATCTACCCCTCAGTTCCTTTCTTTATTCACTGATCGGTGACATCAGAATTGGCAGCAATTCTGATGTCACTGATGAGAATATCATCAGCAATTATTATTCCTGCAGTAACTTCCATTCCCTTCCATTTTTTGCATTGCTATTAAAAAAAAAATCACATTCATTTATATAAGGGATATTGTATTTCTATATACCCAAGTCCAATTTAAAATATCTATCTTGAAAATTAGGATAATAATCTTACCCAAAATACATGAGGGCATTGGACATTCAGCAGGTGTGTGTGTGTGTTAGATAGGATTGAGAGGAGGTAGGTGGTTTTTTATGACCTTGACATGCCGCTGGAGTGTAAGCAAAGTAACATTTATGAAGGCATTCAAGGGAAATGGTTTACTGGACTCGAGTCCTGGAGGTGGGAAGTACAGTGTGTGCACTCTGCAGGAGGCATGGGGATACTGCAGCTGTAGTGTCAGCATGCCTCTAGCAAGAAGTGACGGTGAAAGTGTTTCTTTTTCAGGCCACCCTGCCTCAGTGTGAGAAAGCTGGCATGTTTAAAAAATGAACGTTTTATAATTGTTCCTTTTCTACACATAGTATTGACAGATAAAATAAAATAAGTTAAGGAATCATTCCTTTCTTTGTGTTAGTACTTACCCTATTTGCAGATGAGAATCTAGGTCTGGGGGCAGTGGGTCGTGAAAATTCAACCACTACAAGAGCTGCATCCTTAATCCTACGCTGTGTACTAGTAGAGAGCAACGGCCACTTGCGACAAACTGCTACCCGGTTGGCATTATGAATCATGAACTTTTCTATCTGATTCAGCAAATTTTCAAGGAAATTAAGAAATCCCTGCAAACATAAATGTTATCAATTAACTTTATGAAAAATAATTCAATAAAATACCTTTAAGGATACAGTATATTAATGGAGCGCATTGATTTTCTTTAACTATGTTGATATTGCATAATTCCAAATCTTGTGTTAAATGTGCAATAATTAAATCTACATCTTAGTAATAAATGGAGAATACAGCCTCTCCTCACTTAACAGAGTTCCATTCCTAAGACCACGTCTGTAAACAAATTCGTCACTAAGTGGTAGTGGGTTTATGTCAGCCATCTTTAATACTGTTTTAATGTCGTCTTTGTACCATTTATAACATTTCTGGTATATTTTTAAATGTTTATAGAGTAGTGTACTGTATACATGTATTGTAATAAACAGAACAGAGGAAATCAACTCTAATATACATTATTTAGGGATGCATACTGGTCAATGAGCCTGTCATAAGTCCGAGTCATCGGTAAACGAGTATGTCGCTTTGCATTATAATAATGCAAAGCAGCAAAGAGTATGAAATAGAATTTGAGACCAATTTATTCAAATTGTGTGTAGAAACATTTAAGGTAACCCATAAAAAAATCAGCATGTCACAAAGATCAATCACACAAGTTCCTCTGTTTTGCTAAAATAGTCATGGTAAACCAGATAGTATGCTTTCCTATTGTTTTACAATGTTGCGGATCTTACAGTGATTAAAAGAGTGAATGGAGACAAATGGTTTTTGGGACCTGACGAGCTGTTGGAGTGTGAGCAGGGTAATATATTGTGAAGGGATTGAGGGAAACCGGTTAGCCGCACTTGAGTCCTGGAAATGGGAAGTACAATGCCTGTACTTTCCAGGAGGGGCTTAAGATATTGGCAATTTGGAGGGACATCTAAACTGTCGTATCTGAGCACCTCTGCAAAGACAGTGATTATGCATGAGTGATGGTGAAAGTGTTGAATGATGATGAAAGTTTCTTTCTTTCTTTGTAGGCTTTTTTCTTTCTTTTTGGGTCACCCTGCCTTGGTGGGAAACTGCTGACGTAAAAAAAAAATTAGATCCTCATTATGTGGAGTAGCAAAATGAAAATGCTTATTTTTGGGGTCATCACAATTTTGAAATTTTAAAGAATAAGGCAATAAATTGGTAGACAGCAACTACAGAAAAATTTGCTATCTTACTGGCTTGTGTGAAACAGAAACCTGTTAAATGTTTTACTTTCTGGCAGGAGTGCTGGTCTATTCTGTCTCAAGCATGTAAAATGGGAGGTAAATCTTGCAACTACTACTTGCATTCAGTATACACGACATATACAAGACCGCGTGTATACGTATGTGTCATCTCACCTTTGACACAGACTCACTCTGACTTGACGGAAACTAACCTATTGCACCACCTTTGATTTAAATTTTACTCTTGCACTGATTCCCACCTTCACTAACTCCTAACTCTGTACACCCTGACCTCTCACTCACTCCTAACCTATGCACAGTCACAGAATGATGGCAAATGTGTTTCCTTAACTTACGCACTTGCCTGGAGTTTTATGGCTCACTTGCCATAGGTTTTAACCCCACCCAGCCTGTTGTTTAATGTGTTTACTTTTTTGGATTACCCTATCTTGGTGAGAGACATTAAGTGTTTTATCAAAACTCAATCATTTTATACCGCCCATCACAATCATAATTTTTGGCAACATTATTGTGTGTCACAACACCCTCCAGAACAGAATTCGTGAATTTTTGTCAGCACTGTACATGTAATCATTATTGCACCTAACAAAGATCTTACCTCAGAGACTTCAGATAGTCCATCATCTTGAGTCTGGTCAAGGTATTTTGCCAGTTGAATATGAGAGAGAACAGCCTGGTCAGGACGTATCAACTCACATGCAACACGCATGGTGTCTTGTAAACTATCTATGCTCCAGCCACTATCATGTCCCAGGGCAATGAACCTGAGATATACAATGACATCAAATTTAAGAAATTTTAATTATTTTGTATTCATGACATAAATAAAAATATAATGTTAATCAAATACAAACAGCAGACATAAGATATGATGACAAACAATACAGCAATTATCATATTACTGTATGTGAATAAGGTATTAACAAACCTGTCAGAAGTAAGGACCCCACTCATGTTAGCAGCTATGAAGCTTGTAGCTGCTTCCAGTAGTTGGGCTGCAGAGTCAAACACAGGTTGGGCCCATCGCACCATTGGTAAGGATGAAAGTACCCGTTCACATCCCAAGGCAGTATCTATCACATTGCTCACACTCTGAAACACAATTCATGTGATCCAACGGCAAAAATTACGATTCTCGAGAAGAATACAGTAGACTTTTCAACAATGCAGCGTATACTGCATATACAGTGGACCCCCGGTTAACGATATTTTTTCACTCCAGAAGTATGTTCAGGTGCCAGTACTGACCGAATTTGTTCCCATAAGGAATATTGTGAAGTAGATTAGTCCATTTCAGACCCCCAAACATACACGTACAAACGCACTTACATAAATACACTTACATAATTGGTCGCATTCGGAGGTAATCGTTATGCGGGGGTCCACTGTATACTTCTTCTTTCAACAAACCAGCCGTATCCCACCGAGGCAGGGTGGCCCAAAAGGAAAAACGAAAGTTCTCCTTGTACATTTAGTAATATATACAGGAGAAGGGGTTACTAGCCCCTTGCTCCCAGCATTTTAGTTGCCTTTTACAACACGCATAGCTTACGGAGGAAGAATTCTGTTCCACTTCCCCATGGAGATAAGAGGAAATAAATAAGAACAAGAACTAGAAAGAAAATAGCAGAAAACCCAGAGGGTTGTGTATATATATATATATGCTTGTACACGTATGTGTAGTGTGACCTAAGTGTAAGTAGAAGTAGCAAGACATACCTGTAATCTTGCATATTTATGAGACAGACAAAAGACACCAGCAATCCTACCATCATGTAAAACAATTACAGGCTTTCGTTTTACACTCACTTGGCAGGATGGTAGCACCTCCCTGGGTGGTTACTGTCTACCAACCTACTACCTTTAACTGCATATATACATGTTCCTAAAATTACCCTACCACTTAGATAAAATCTTGTTACACACAGTGCCCACAGAAGAAATTGAGCTGACACCCCAAAAGACGTTGACAAATTTCACTATTTTGTCATTTTCTACTGAACCCCAGTCTATAGGTAATGCCACTTGCATGTTGCTGCAGGAACATTGGATCACAATGGACGGTGATTATATTATTTCAATTATCTCTCTCAGAGTATGTCTTCAGGAAAATAAACTAGTTAACAAAGATAAAGGTGGAATGAACCAACATTACTTTAAAAGAATAAAGTAAGTAAATGTTTAGTTCTGTTTCATTTCCCCTTTTATTAATGCTATATAAGCAAACTAATCTAAAACAGTATAACGTTAACTATTTCTATTCCATCAATGATTTCTTTTGTGGGGACTTTAAATAGAATGATTCAAAGAAAAATTACGTTATGCCCTAGAACTTTGACGCATGTAAATAACATTTTGTTTAGAATTTTGTAGAGAAATAAGTATACTACTCAGACCTCATATTCAACGTCTATCAAATTACTGAGAACGGAAGAAATATGCATGAAATATTAAATACTGTAGCTTCATAATTTTCACATTAACATACAGCAATTGCTGTAACAAACAAAATTGCTGTTACCTCAATACAACTGCTGTAATAATCTTTAATCTTAGGTAGCTCCCAGATTGTAATACAGGTTACCAGTCTCTGTTAAGTCAGGAATCCATTTATGCTTTCAAGTTTTAGATGATAGCACACTTTGTTTTCAAGATTACAAACATTGTGATCATGCTGTCATTTTTGATAAACTTTAAAATTAGTTTTTATTGTAGCTGTTGTACTTATGGTTTGATGTGTGAAAGTTTTTAAATTTTTCAAAAGAACAGCTCAAGAATTATAAAATACTAATTACTATTATTATTATTATTATTAGCACACATTTTTAGTAGTACAATGACACTAGTCTTAGGTATGTAATTGCTATATTCCCATACAAATTTGATATTTTCCTAATAAATATACTACTGTAATAATAATTTAGGTATTCCTTACTCAAACCCAGAAGTAGAATTCACCAACAAATGTTTTAAATATCTGTGGAAGGGAATATGATACTTACATATTAGTGAGGAGTGTTTGAGTGAGCACAGTGCTAGAGAACAAATTTAAATACAGTATTCAAGAACATGTACAATTCATAAAGCAGAACCATTTTAAATACACAATATCTTGTAATCAACTTACCATGTCATCCAGCAACTGTTTAAGGCATCGGTCCTGCACCTCCGGAGGAAGAGCAGCATAGTTGCGGGTTGGCAACACTACAACAAAGTGCTTGGCTACCCAACGCAAACATCGGTGATACAGGTCATCCAGACAATAAGCACCGGCGATGGGTAAAACATCCAACACCCCTTCAAGACACCCTGAGCATGGCTAAAGAGACATACAAAATTAAATACTGTATCTAATTTATTCACAAAATGTATGGCAGTTACTGCTTTAGTTGCCTGTTATGTACTGATGAATGCTATGCTTAAAACATGCAATATAAATATGCCATAGTAAATATTCACATTTTTATGCTTTCACCTTGTGCAATTTTATATCTAAGGTGTACTGTATTTTCAAGAAGTATAATGGATTTTTAAATATTTTATTGAGGTCTGCAGATAAGACAAGCTGAAAAGCAGATAACAAAGGTAAGTGAATAATAAAAATTTAATAGACTTGTGGTCTTTCATGTGTCTTCATTACCTGTTGAGGGTCTTTAACCCCTTGACTGTCGCAACCCCCAATCCTGAGGTGTCTCCTGGTGTCGCAAAATTTAATAAAAAAAAAAAAAATATTTTTTCTTATGAAATGATAGAGAATCTTTTCCCGATTGTAATGACACCAAAAAAAACGAAATTTGATGGAAAACTGATGGAATTATGCTCTCGCGAAGTTAGCGACCTCGGCGATATTTACAAATCGGCGATTTCGCCCAATTTGAGCCCTATTTTCGGCTAATTCCGTTGTTCCAGTCGACCAAACTCATAGCTATTTCTTTAGAACTCCATCTTTTCTATCGATTGAGTACAAGAAACTGCCCATTTACTGATTTCAACTACCCAATAATGTGGTCAGAAATTTGCAATTTGGCCAATTTCACGAAAATTAAAAAATGTGACAATTTCAAAATAAGGTCCAGAATGAACAATGCAGACATTCCTGGCTCTAAAATAACATTTTCTTTGTTCATCAGTCATGTCTCCAGGCCCCTCTGATATTACTCTTGCTTTCTGTTTTGAATTTTTATTCAAACAAAAAATAGAAGACTTACTATTATGCAGACTACTGCAATACTGTAATAATTGTATAAATAACATCAACCCATTCATGACTGCATATTAGAATGGCTAGTTGGACATTTATTGGACAATGACATCATTTGTTTACTTTTGAACATTGGCAAAAATCAAACATTTCTCCTACTTTGAGCTCCATTTCCAGGTTCTTTTTATAGGAAAATCAATCAAAATCACCTCTATTTCTATAATATGTTTTCCATTCTATCAAATGAGACCAAGAAAACGAGAATACAACCATAAATACTATACGAAAATAGACCACAAAGTCGGCATTTTAATTAAAAAAAAAAAAACGGTTGGAGTTTTTTTTTCTCATTATGCACTGCATGCTCCAGGATTTTTTTTATATGGTGCACACTGACCACACAGACTCATTCTCTCACATGTGGGCCTACCAGCTTTCTCCTGCTTGATTTGAAGCCGCTAGAATTTATGAGTACGTATATATACGTCAAACACGGTACCTCGTAAGACGTATATATACGGCCGCGACAGTCAAAGGGTTAAACCTGCTGATAGTCCAGGCATTCACAACTACATTACAGCACATTAAATGCAAATAGAAAAATTAAGTAAAATCCATTGATTTTTTTTTTTTTACCATAACAGGTACAGGCAACCTCTTTCATGGGTCAACTAATTCCAGATAATAAATATTTTCTTTACCACACTGGCCATTTCCCACCAAGATACATAGGTTGACCCAAGAAAAGGGATTAATCATCAGTCATTCATTCATTTATAAAATATACATCAAAGAGTTGCATTATGAACTGCTGTAAACAATATTACAATGTATTACAGCAATCACCTTTATTCATTACAGTGCTCTGTTATGCTTCATATTGAAAATAAAAATATTAATCCAATACGTACTGAATTTCTTGCAATTTAAAGTTTCCAAATTTTTACTGAAATACTGCAGTGAAAACTCAACTGACCTTATGATTTTTACTGAAATACTGCAGTGAAAACTCAACTGACCTTATGAAAATAATGACACATTTTAGCTTTTAGATGTAAACTAATTACATCTTTAAGTCCATCAAGTGCCAGCATATCAGCAAGTGCTGCAAGTTCCCCAACTCTCACCCCCTCAGGCACTGTACTTGTGCCACTATAAATGTGCTTTAGTGCCACCATCACACAATCAGCTGAGAACCTGTAGATAAAGCAAAAATTATTTCTTACTTAGAGCATCAATAATATAAAGATACTGGAACATGTAGTACTGTGAATAACTAAAGTGTAAAGAACACCTGCCAATGCTCAATAATACCACAAGGAGACAGAAACTCAGGAGGTTAATTGATCTGTATATTTTGATCCCCTTCTGGAATCTTCTGCTGAAGAGGACCCCAGAAGGGGATCGAAATCATCATCATCTTTCAACAAACCAGCTGAATCCCACTGAAGCAGGGTGGCCCAAAAAGAAAAACAAAAGTTTCTCTTTTTAACTTTAGTTATGTATACAGGAGAAGGGGTTACTAGTTCCTTGCTCCTGGCATTTTAGTAGCCTCTTACGGCATGCATGGCTTACAGAGGAAGAATTCTGTTCCACTTCCCCATGGAGAGAGGGGTCGAAATATACAAATTAGTTAATCTCCTGAGTTTTCTGTCTCCTTGTGGGTTATTACTAAGCATATAGTATTGTATTAATAAATTAATGTAAACTATAAAAAATTATTTGTGCAAGGTGAAAGGTCGAGAAAAAGGACAGGGACTGAAGGAAAAGCATAAGGTCATAAGAAGGAATATCAGTAGAATTGTACAGTAACTCAGTTTTAGATAAAAAAATTAGACTCTTCAGCCTATCCAGAGGAAAGTAGATAAAGCAAGAAAGTCAGGGCACTGAAAAAAAATTAATATGAAAATGGCATACTCCGCAATGAGCACAGTGAGCAAAACATGTTCAACTGTTACCATGACCTGACAGTTCTCACAGAATGGCACCGAGTACCCCTCCATATTCTGATGTGGTTTCCAATTATCATACAAAATGCTAATGATCAAAATTTACAGCATTTTCAACTTTAATAATTCCACAAAATAGTGTGTTGGGAGACGGCCGACTTGTTGGAAAAAAAAAAAAAAAAATTAACAAAAATTAATAAGGCTTACGAAAACTACTGCACTTGGCTGAAATGGGAGTAATAACATGCATTTCTAAAGTTCATCCAAGATACTTTGAGCTGGAAATACATACCCCTGTAACTTGATAACATTGCCAGCACTTTCCACCCAGTGTCCTGACAGCATGGCAGCGAAATACACGCACCGGGAAGCCAAAATACACTTATGGGCTCGGATGCGCTTCTCGCCTATCTAGAAATGAGATTAATTTCGTTTATTTGAAGATACATGAACAACAACACCAACACACTATAAAAATTAACTTGTGATATTGCAACCAAATTCCTTATAGAAATACTATAAACAAGACTGCACAAAAGTGATGCCCTACTCCACTTCTAGAGTATAAAATTTATTGAGGTACAGAACAAATACTACACTTAATCTTGTCTGGTACTCTGAATATCCATGCATCAGAGCATTTACTTCAACCAAAATTATATAATGTATACACATTGTTGTGAAACTTATTAGAATATTTCATTAAATTTGTAATATCGATACATATTCATGCATACCTGTATAGTGACATCAGTATTAATTTCATTCAGGAACATGCGCAACAAATCTTCACCCAATCTTGAACAAGGTTCTTTGCTTCCCTGATCCGAGGGCTCTGGACAGGATCACAAAATACAATGTACACTGCTTTGTAACAGTTATGTTTTAACATAATGAAAGTAACAAAATAGCAGTGTCTGTACCTTTATTAGACAGTGTACTAATGCAAATGGAGGTCATTCAAATAAACAAATGAACACCAGAAATCAAAGAAGAGTGACACTGTAATTGATCTGAACACATGTAAAGCAAGCAACCCTTGCATAAATGGATTAACAGCATAATCCCATCTATGATGTACAGCATAATTGTGGCAGAAAGTTCCTCTAGTATAAAAAAAAATATCAGCTTTTAAAGACATTATTTATTAAGTAGAGTGAGGCTTAGATTAGGGTACGTATGAGAAAGGGGAACTACTTTCCAATAAAGGTAGGCCTTAGGGATGCGTAGTGTCACTATTGTTCACCGTATTTATAGATGAAGTTGTAGAAAGTATGACTGCTACGGTGGTGGGAAGAGGTGTGGGGATTAAAAGATAATAACATTATGCAGAAAATTCGAAGTGTGGAAATTAGGAGGTGTGGAGTTAATAAAAGTATTAGTCAGAGGGCTGAAGAGGGGTTGTTGAGGTGGTTTGGTCATTTAGAGAGAATGGATCAAAGTAGAATGACATGGAGAGCGTATAAATCTGTAGGGGAAGGAAGGCGGGGTAGGGGTCATCCTCGAAAAGGTTAAAGGTGGGGGGGGGGGGGTTAGAGGTGGTTTTGTGGGCGAGGGGCTTGGACTTCCAGCAAGCGTGGGTGAGCATGATAGATAGGAGTGAATGGAGACGAATGGTATTTGGGACCTGACGAGCTGTTGGAGTGTGAGCAGGGTAATATTTAGTGAAGGGATTCAGGGAAACCGGTTATTTTTATATAGCTGGATTTGAGTCCTGGAAATGGGAAGTACAATGCCTGCACTTTAAAGGAGGGGTTTGGGATATTGGCAGTTTGTAGGGATATGTTGTGTATCTTTATACGTATATGCTTCTAAACTCTTGTATTCTGAGCACCTCTGCAAAAACAGTGATTATGTGTGAGTGAGGTGAAAGTGTTGAATGATGAAAGTATTTTCTTTTTGGGGATTTTCTTTCTTGTTTGGGTCACCCTGCCTTGGTGGGAGATGGCTGACTTGTTAAAAAAAAAAAAAAAATGTACATACATACATACATACATACATGTATATTTGCATTAGTTTTTTCTATTAAGAGTGACAGAAAATTCAAGTACTCAGCAATTAAATGTAACTTACCAATTGAGCGTTCAATACTGCTGAGAAGACTGCTTACATCTGACACTTCAGAAGGTTCAGTTTCTTGAGGAAGACTTGCTGACACAATATCACTAAAAGATACACTTTGAGTGGGCCCAAGTTCTGATACTGAAATATCTCGACTTGTGGCCATGTCATTTGTTTCTGAAGTATGTTCATCTTTAGTCCGAGAAACTGAACGATCTCTCTGAGAACTAGCTTCTTTCTTGAGAGGTGAAGGTTTTGCTTTGGGAATGGATTTAGATGATGATGGTTTATTCTTAAGAACATGAATAGGTCTTGGGATGCCTGATACAAATGATCCATCCCTTGACGTAGACGATTCGTTAATCTTGTCGTTAAGGCTCACATTCTTCCTTGTTGGAGGCTGAGCAATAAATTCTTCTCTATCAATAACTGATTTTGTCATCAGTCTGCTCGAACTTTCTGGAGTTGAAAACAGGAGAGAATCACTTGGAGCTGATCTGGTCATTGCATTTTCACTTTTCTTTTTGGAAGGGGGTGGTGCAGGACGTCGGCGTGGTTTTGGCGAGCCCAACTTCGGTGATGATTCTGTTTCAATAAACATAAAAAAACCTTTCTTCTCTTTATTCCCTCCATCAGATGCTCCATTAGCTTCCACTTTTACATTGTCAGGGTTTTGTTTACTTTCTACAGGGAGTTCTGGGTCTGCAAGAACTGGTGGAAGCGAACTGAATTCTGCCTCTGGATGAGATTCAACAGATTTTGAGATGGGCACACCATCACTTTCTGACCTCCTCTTTCTTCTGCTTTTGGGAGAGGGTGCATCCGCTTCTATATACATATAAATCGCAGATGACTGACTCTTGGCCTTCGATGCTTCTTTTTTTTCTATTTCTTTTACATCTTCTACACAAGGAGTTGGGATATCATTCAGATCTATAAACATTGGAAAGATAGACTGATGTTTTTCATCTTCCCCTTCCACACATGCTTCTTTACTATCATCTTTACTTTCTTTTTGCTCTTCTTCATCTTGTGGGCCAATGTATCCAAACACAAGAGGTATGGAATCTACATCCTTAACTGACCCAATGCTAATTTGGCGCTCAGATTTAGTGACAGCTGTTCTCTCTCCAGTGTCTTTCTCTCTTTTCAAAGTCGATCCACCTGAGATAATGGGCGTGTTCTCAGAGAGCTCTCTGCTCAATTTGGGGCTCCCTGTAATTTGTGGCAATATTTTATAGGATGAATCTTCAACAGTCACTTCTTTTTTATCAGATTTCTCCTCAGTATGCCCAGAATCACTACTTTTACTTTCATTCTCTCGATCATCTTGCTCTTTTTCTTCATTATCCATCTCTTCCTTTTTGATACTTGAACTGCTAGTTTCTAAGGATAAATTTCTACTTGATTTTCTGGAGGATTTTTCCTTATTCACAGTTTCTGCTTCTCTCCTTGCTACAAAGTCAACACTCAGAGAATCTGGCGATGGTGATCGAGTTGATGCTCCTCTTTTGGCTATCTCCTGCTGAAGTTCTAATGCCATCTCATCCGTACTCTTTTGAACTCTTAGGGGTGGACGGCGACTCAGAACACGTGTTAATTCGGGGTTAACATCTTCCACAGAGTGCACAACTGGAAGACCAACAGACGCTGGACGAGGTATAGGATCAACAACAGGTGCTTCCAGAGCACCGAGAGAGTGAATACTGCCCATCATAGCACTGTCCATCATACTGCTATACATGGATCCCACACCCATACTACCACTTTCAGAACTCATACTTGCTGTCATCATGCTAGCAGTCATCATATTAGTAGTAGGAATGTTAGAATAAGTCTGGAAATTATGCTCAAATATCAAGGAACCTTTTTTTCTTTCCATCTCCCGTAACTTCTCTGGATCATCTACATTTTCATAGTAGGAGGATGCTATACTTTCATCAGATATTTTCCTTTCCTTTCCATTACCTGGGTTTTCTTTCCCTAAACCGTGAGTCCGTACATTTCTTTTAGGATTACTAAAGCTGTGATGGCTAAGAACTTCACTCAATGCCCCCTGTTGCATTTTTATTGTAGCAGATCCTTCTGGTTCTACTTCCTTCTTCTCTGATGGTTCTTGCAAGGGTTTGTCAGGTCCACTGGCAATTCCCTCAAGGACTTCATAAGTTCTTGCTCTCACCAGTGGTCTCATGGGATGAACAGGAGCTGTTGTTGCACTATCTTGTTCTTCAAATTTGGTCCCATTTCCTTCTAGCAGATCAAGATTGCTTTCTTTGCCTGGGTTTTTGGACACTGCTCTTTTTGATACGGCTTCTGGGCTCTCATCAGAATCATGGCTACTAGAATTTTCTTCATGGCTACTAGGAAGTTCTACTTCAAGACTAGAAGTTTCATGTAGATTACTCAGCCTATGATCACTCCCACTGTTACTGGCACTAGTATTATCTAGCTCTGCACTTTCTTGAGATTCTGCACCAAATGATTGACTTTTTCGTTGTAAATATGCCTTTGAGGTAGACACAGACTGAACATGCTGCTGTTGCTGTTTTGCTAAAACATTAGCCTGATGCAGGGATGCATTTTCTTTTGTGCTAGACATGGCACCGTATTTATGTGGTTTGCTTTCTTTTGCTTTCACACTCTCCAGGTAAAACTGCCCAGTATCTCCATTTGAACAGACCAGCACACTCTTCTTTTCATCTTGGATGCAAATGGGCTCAAGAGGAATAGATTCTGAAGTGGAAGCTCTCTGAGAACACGAAGGTGAACGCTCCCGCTTGTCTTTCAATTTATCCTGAAAAGATTCCCCACTGACTTGCATAGGAGATGTTTGTAATTCCTTAATCATAGATACATTAAAGACTGGAGACTGCTGATTAGATAATTGTCCACTGGGAGAATGATCATTATTAGAGGCCCGTTTTGTGGGCTGGGAAGTTTTCAAGGAAATTTTTCCTTTCTTTTTAAATGCTGCATAACTGCCAACATCATCCTCTACATTACTATCGCAATTACCTCCAGCTTTGTCACTCACTCCACCCTTTTGTTTTTCCTTTATTTCACATTTGTTTATATTTACAACTGTATGGTTTGTAATGTTCATTGTGTATCCCAATGACTTAGGTTTTTGAGCACAAACCTTTCGACTAGATTTTGGCCTTACAGACTTTGATGTATTTAAACTATTTCTTATTGCTTGTGGCTTCAGGGTTGTGGTGCTATTAGAATCTGTATCTGATAGGGTGCACGTCTTGTATGTACAATGCACACCATTGCTGCTGATGAACTGTTCCACGTCTTGTATGTTACCCTTTCTCTTACTTAATTGCCCTTTTTGAAGCTGTTTGAGGATCAGCTGCTGAACTTGGTGTTCCTCGTCACTGCTCAGTCTCTCAATTCGTATCTTATTGCTACAGAGCAGTGCCCTCTGCTGAAGGACAGCCAGGATGTCCTCTAATTTTTGTCTTAGTGCCACACCAGCTGTTAAGTTGCTCTGGTTGCTGTACAAGCTCCTGGAAAAAACACATTATATAACATTAAAACTATGCATATGCATTGCTAAAGGAGCACCTATGGATTACAGCAGATCGCTTTTTTTTTTGGCGAGCCAAAAGAGATGGTAGATATTTCAATGCAAGTACAGTATCGCTAGTCACCATTTTGTAAACTTTCATATAGCAAAAATCAATAATGTACAATATAAATGTACAATAATGTACAATATAAATAACTAGGGTTACATTTCAGGATTCTAAAGCAAGTAAATTTATAGAGGTATATACCATCTTTTAGGAGTGAAGAAGAACAGGATGTAAGTGTGGGGGAGGTGCGTGAGGCAGTACATAGAATGAAAGGGGGTAAAGCAGCTGGAACTGACGGGATCATGACAGAAATGCTAAAAGCAGGGGGATATAGTGTTGGAGTGGTTGGTATTTTTGTTTAATAAATATAAATATAAATATAAAGGGAAAGTGGACAAAAGAGATTGTAAAAATTATAGAGGAATAAGTTTACTGAGCATACCAGGAAAAGTGTACAGTAGGGTTATACTAATTGATAGAATTAGAGGTAAGACAGAATGTAGGATTGCGGATGAGCAAGGAGGTTTCCGAGTGGGTAGGGGATGTGTAGATCAAGTGTTTACATTGAAGCATATATGTGAACAGTATTTAGATAAAGGTAGGGAAGTTTTCATTGCATTTATGGATTTAGAAAAGGCATATGATAGAGTGGATAGAGGAGCAATGTGGCAGATGTTGCAAGTACGTGTATATGGAATAGGTGGTAAGTTATTAAATGCTGTAAAGAGTTTTTATGAGGATAATGAGGCTCAGGTTAGGGTGTGTAGAAGAAAGGGAGACTACTTCTCGGTAATAGTAGGTCTTAGACAGGGATGTGTAATGTCACCATGGTTGTTTAATATATTTATAGATGGGGTTGTAAAGGAAGTAAATGCTAGGGTGTTCGGGAGAGGGGTGGGATTAAATTTTGGGGAATCAAATTCAAAATGGGAATTGACAGTTACTTTTTGCTGATGATACTGTGCTTATGGGAGATTCTAAAGAAAAATTGCAAAGGTTAGTGGACGAGTTTGGGAATGTGTGTAAAGGTAGAAAGTTGAAAGTGAACATAGAAAAGAGTAAGGTGATGAGGGTGTCAAATGATTTAGATAAAGAAAAATTGGATATCAAATTGGGGAGGAGGAGTATGGAAGAAGTGAATGTTTTCAGATACTTGGGAGTTGACATGTCGGCGGATGGATTTATGAAGGATGAGGTTAATCATAGAACTGACGAGGGAAAAAAGGCGAGTGGTGCGTTGAGGTATATGTGGAGTCAAAAAACGTTATCTATGGAGGCAAAGAAGGGAATGTATGAAAGTATAGTAGTACCAACACTCTTATATGGGTGTGAAGCTTGGGTGGTAAATGCAGCAGCGAGGAGACGGTTGGAGGCAGTGGAGATGTCCTGTTTAAGGGCAATGTGTGGTGTAAATATTATGCAGAAAATTCGGAGTGTGGAAATTAGGAAAAGGTGTGGAGTTAATAAAAGTATTAGTCAGAGGGCTGAAGAGGGGTTGTTGAGGTGGTTTGGTCATTTAGAGAATGGATCAAAGTAGAATGACATGGAAAGCATATAAATCTATAGGGGAAGGAAGGCGGGGTAGGGGTCGTCCTCGAAAGGGTTGGAGAGAGGGGGTAAAGGAGGTTTTGTGAGCGAGGGGCTTGGACTTCCAGCAAGCGTGCGTGAGCGTGTTAGATAGGAGTGAATGGAGACGAATGGTACTTGGGACCTGACGATCTGTTGGAGTGTGAGCAGGGTAATATTTAGTGAAGGGATTCAGGGAAACCGGTTATTTTCATATAGTCGGACTCGAGTCCTGGAAATGGGAAGTACAATGCCTGCATTTTAAAGGAGGGGTTTGGGATATTGGCAGTTTGGAGGGATATGTTGTGTATCTTTTTATGTATATGCTTCTAAACTGTTGTACCCTGAGCACATCTGCAAAAACAGTGATAATGTGTGAGTGTGGTGAATGATGATGAAAGTATTTTCTTTTTGGGGATTTTCTTTCTTTTTTGGGTCACCCTGCCTCGGTGGGAGACGGCCGACTTGTTGAAAAAAAAAAATGCATGAAAGAGGGGAAGGTACCTAGGGATTGGCAGAGAGCATGTATCGTCCCTTTACATTAAGGGAAGGGGGACAAAAGAGACTGTAAATATTATAGAGGAATAAGTTTACTGAGTATACCAGGAAAAGTGTACGGTAGGGTTATTATTGAAAGAATTAGAGGTAAGACAGAATGTAGGATTGCGGATGAGCAAGGAGGCTTCAGAGTGGGTAGGGGATGTGTAGATCAAGTGTTTACATTGAAGCATATATGTGAACAGTATTTAGATGAAGGTAGGGAAGTTTTTATTGCATTTATGGATTTAGAAAAGGCATATGACAGAGTGGATAGGGGAGCAATGTGGCAGATGTTGCAAGTATATAGAATAGGTGGTAAGTTACTAAATGCTGTAAAGAGTTTTTATGAGGATAGTGAGGCTCAGGTTAGGGTGTGCAGAAGAGAGGGAGACTACTTCCCGGTAAAAGTAGGTCTTAGACAGGGATGAGTAATGTCACCTTGGCTGTATAATATATTTATAGATGGAGTTGTACAAGAAGTAAATGCTAGGGTATTGTGGAGAGGGGTGAGATTAAATTATGGGGAATCAAATACAAAATGGGAATTGACACAGTTACTTTTTGCTGATGATACTGTGCTTATGGGGGATTCTAAAGAAAAATAGCAAAGGTTAGTGGACGAGTTTGGGAGTGTGTGTAAAGGTAGAAAGTTGAAAGTGAACATAGAAAAGAGTAAGGTGATGAGGGAATCAAATGATTTAGATAAAGAAAAATTGGATATCAAATTGGGGAGGAGGAGTATGGAAGAAGTGAATGTTTTCAAATATTTGGGAGTTGATGTATCGGCGGATGGATTTATGAAGGATGAGGTTAATCATAGAATTGATGAGGGGAAAAAAGGTGAGTGGTGCGTTGAGGTATATGTGGAGGCAAAAGACGTTATCTATGGAGGCAAAGAAGGGAATGTATGAAAGTATAGTACTGTAGTACCAACACTCTTATATGGGTGTGAAGCTTGGGTTGTAAATGCAGCAGCGAGGAGGCGGCTGGAGGCAGTGGAGATGTCCTGTCTAAGGACAATGTGTGGTGTGAATATTATGCAGAAAATTCGGAGTGTGGAAATTAGGAGGAGGTGTGGAGTTAATAAAATATTAGTCAGAGGGCTGAAGAGGGGATGTTGAGGTGGCTTGGTCATTTAGAGAGAATGGATCAAAGTAGAATGACATGGAGAGCATATAAATCTGTACGGGAAGGAAGGTGGGGTAGGGGTCGTCCTTGAAAAGGTTGGAAGGAAGGGGTAAAGGAGGTTTTGTGGGCGAGGGGCTTGGACTTCCAGCAAGCGTGCGTGAGCGTGTTCGATAGGAGTGGATGGAGACGAATGGTATTTGGGACCTGACGAGCTGTTGGAGTGTGAGCAGGGTAATATTTAGTGAAGGGATTCAGGGAAACCGGTTATTTTTATATAGCCGGACTTGAGTCCTGGAAATGGGAAGTACAATGCCTGCACTCTAAAGGAGGGGTTCGGGATATTGGCAGTTTAGAGGGATATGTTGTGTATCTTTATACGTATATGCTTCTGAGCTGTTGTATTCTGGGCACCTCTGCAAAAACAGTGATTATGTGTGAGTGAGGTGAAAATGTTGAATGATGATGAGAGTATTTTCTTTTTGGGGATTTTCTTTCTTTTTGGGTCACCCTGCCTCAGTGGGAGACAGCCGACTTGTTAAAAAAAAAAAAAAAATACAATCTCTCCTCACTTAGTGATGTACTTGTTTACTGATGACTCAGACTTATGACAGGCTCCCTGACCAGCATGCATACCTAAATAATGTATATTAGAGCTGATTTTCTTCTATTCTGTTTATTACAATATACAGTAAGGCCCCGCTTTACGGCGTTCCGCTAATACGGCGATGTCAAATTATGACCAAAATTTGCTATACGGCAAGCGGTCTTTCAAATATGGTGCCCCCACCCGGTTTGTTTACATTTTCCGTGACCACATCTATTATGTCAGGAAACTTTCCAAAATTTCAAGTGTTTTAAAGTTACTGCATATTTTATATGTACTCTGATAATTATACTTATGTGTACCTGTACCTAAATATACTTACACACTGTGCTGGTGTGCAGGTACACATTAAAATCGCTAAGTCTCTCTCTACTCATGACACCAATACTACTTAATAATAATCACTCTTGGGCACACTAAATGTCTTATTTTACATCAATATAGGCATTTTCATTAATCTGTCTATGATATTTTCCTCAAAATTATGTATGAAACCCATTACATAGCATATAAACATGATACATACACTCACAGAATAAAAATTGATGTAAATATGAGATTAGTTTACAGAGCAGCTGTGTAGATAGTGTCGGAAGAATTACGTTTTCTCTACTCAAACTGGGGGATAACTGTAGAAAAATATTCTTTTTGTATGTCTTTATATATAGCAATTCATGACCCTTGTGGGTTTAGTGCTTTTTATTAAATAATAATAATAATAATAATAATAATAATAACAATAATAATAATAATAATAATAATAATAATAATAATACCGTGACTGGAACGATACACAAATAACCCACACATAAAAGAGAGAAGCTTACGATGACGTATTGTAATAATATTAATAATAATAATAATAATATTATTATTATTAATAATAATAATATTATTATTAATAATAATAATATTACTATTATTATTATTATCTTCATTCACTCTAAAACTGGTGTGTTGCTGTTTGTTTATTCTGTACTAACTTGTACACAATGTAAGAGTATTTGTATTGGGAGGTAATTATTATTAAAATAAAAAAATATTGAGGTAAATGTTTTACAAACTCTTACAAATGGACGTGAATGAACTAAAAGTAGACACACATTAATACACATTTATTTAGCCTGACCAAGTGATCGTTCACTACCTGTTCAGTTTGTGTTCTTACATTGTCTCAATTCTGTATCTCGTTCTCTCTCTCGTTTACTCTTTCGTTAACTAGTTGGCTCTCATTGATGATGGCGCCTAAGGTTAGCTGTAATAAAAAGAGAAGTCGTAAGCCTCTTGCTCTAAGTGCCAAGTTAGAGGATGATGGTGTGCCATTCTGATTTTATTCAATAAACACCCTGCCACTCACCTCTCACACATTAATATTAATATTTTAAGGTAAGTAATAAGTGTACTCTGTGTGTATCATACCTTTTATTGTGTTTTTAATGTCTATTTATATTGCTAACTTAATATAAGTTAGTGTAAATTTGTTGTCTGGCATTTATTGCATATTTTATGTGTGCTTTGATAATAATACTTGTGGAGCTGTGTGGTAGCTGGGTGGAGGGACAACGTTATGTTTTCTCTGCTCAGCCATCAGAGAAAACGTTTATGAATCTGCGTTTGGCCCAGCCACTCCCTCACTCCTCTTTTGTTTACAATTTTCGGCATGAACTGTTCATTACTTCTCCTTCGTTTATGATGGCATCTAAAGGTAGTTGTTAGAAATGATTAAATTCAGTGAACAAGGCATGTCGATGTTAATAATATGGCTCTGGGCCACAGTGTAGGTAGCCAGTAGGTATAGTTCAGGCGGGCTACACCTACCGGCTACCTACACTGACTTTCTACAAATAAATACTACTCACCTCTCTTCCTATATTAAGACTACACATAATTTAAGGTAAATAATGAGTGTACTGTATGTGTATTTTACCTCTCTGGGATGTTTTAAATATGGTATATTAAGTATGAGACGGGGAGCCAGTGCTACCTACACCTGGGTACCTGCACCTGACTTCCTACAAATAAGTACTACTCACCTCTCTCCCTACATAAAGATTACAAATACTTTAAGATAAGTAATGAATTTACTGTGAATGTATTTTACTTTGTGTGTTTTTAATGCCTAGTTCTATTACTAACTTAATATAATTTAGTGTAAACTTGTTGTCTGGCATTTACATGCATTTATAAATGGAAAAAAATGGCGTTCTGCCTTCCGGCGATGTCTGCTTTCCAGCGACAGCCTGGAACCTAACCCGCCATATAAGTGGGGCCCTACTGTACAGTACACTACTGTATAAACACTTAAAAATATACCAGAAATGTTATAAATGGTTCAAAGGTGACATTAAAACAATATCAACGATGGTTGACATAAACCCACTACCATTATTGTATGCTCCTCACTTAGCCACGAATTCATGTACCAACGTGATCTTAGGAACGGAACTCTGTCGTTAAGTGAGGACAGTCTGTATAGCAATACAGTGGGATACAGCCAGTTCAGTGACAAAAAAAAGTAGCAATAACTGTGCTAGTTACAGACTTTGACATCCTCCTGACTGAATCAATGCCACCAGACTTGGAGACTTATACATGATTGCCTTAAGATTGAGAAAGAGTACATATATTTACTGCGTAAGGAAACAACAACCTGAAAATTTTGACTACAGTAAACGATATACACAAGATGGAAAAAGTATGAACAGAATTCATGGAAGGCAGGTACACACACCGAGTAAATTTTTGAAGCTCCTTGTACTCTACTTCAGGCAGCTGGATACAAACAAAATTCTCATTAGGCTTCTTATTCTTGTTAGGACGCTGAAATTTAGCAATCTCTAGAAGCAGGTGCCAGAGCACTGGAACACGTGCAGCAAAGAACAACTGGTGACAGTAAACGTTGCCTCGTGATGCTTCAAGCTTCAAGTCCACAAACAGTGACTTTTCATATAAACTGTAAAGAAAGACACTATTTCAAAGCTCATTTTCAATAAAGTTATTGGCAATTACAAAAAAGTAAGGGATGGATAAATAGTGTAATAAAGTAAAAAAAAAATCCTTTCAGAAAAAATCTAATTGATCTAATATTGCAAAAATGGCAAATTCAAAATTGAGTACTGTTCCTACAGAATATAAAAATACTCATAACAGCCACTTGTAATCCTGATCCAAAAATCTACATAAAAAGGGGCAAAATACAAACCCAAACACATCAGACACCAGCCGCTCAGTGACCCTTTTTTGCAGTTCCAACCTCTCGCGTTCATACCTCAGCTGTAGGGATGTTGACCGGGGAAGTGGCTGACCTATGGCGCGCTGTCTTACAACTGTTGGCATTAAGAAGAATAAAAGTAACAATATTGTGACTGAAACAACTCACAAATAACCCACACTTAGAAGGGGGAATACCACATCTGTTAATAGTTCTGGGTATATCTTCCCCATGCCCAGTCTCAGACCAGGCTTTGTAGTTTGGAAAAAAAATATTACAGGAATAAGAACTATTAAGACCCCAATAGAAATAACTCACTTTGTCTGACTTTTTTGGGTTATCCTAGGTAATCTACACACATGCTGCTATGTATGATAATTTATGTAACTATTTATGTGTACCTGTACCTGAATAAACTTACTTACTAAGAAGAACATAGGAAATCAAAGGCATATATACAATATAATGAGTGTAAGCAGAGATCTGTAAGATTTACCTGACATCTTGCAAGTTCATGCAACACAAAGAAAATGATCAGCAATCTGGCCAGAGTGCAAAAAAAAAAAAAAAAAAAAAAAAAAAAAAAAAAAAAAAAAAAAAAAAATAAACAGGTTTACATTTCACACTCATTTGACAGGTCAGTAGCACCTCCTTGGATGGTTGCTGTGAACCAACCCACTACACTTTAGGTGATGTCTAAATTAATCCTGGACCGATATCAAGTCAGGATTGTGGCTTCATAATGATCCAGAATGAATCTCAAAACATCGTCTAAAGTCCCCTCTTCTAAGCATGGTTCATTTGTGCATTACAGCATTACCTAAAATGTTTTGTGGTATCTCTCACTCTATCACAGAATGTTACAAAGATGCACTCAACATACAACATTCATTTAGCAGTGTTGCTATTTTCCAACACATCAGACTAATACCAATAAATTTTCCCACAACATTAACCCTTTGAGGGTCGACAGGCCCTCTCCGAAACTCGTTCTCAGGGTCGGCCAAATTTAAAAAAAAAAAAAAAATTATTTTCTCTTATGAAAAGATAGAGAATCTTTTCCCGATCATAAAGACACCAAAAGTTTGAAATTTGATAGAAAACTTACGGAATTATGCTCTCGCAAAGTTAGCGGTCTCGGCGATGTTTACGCATCGGCGATTTTGCCCACTTTGAGCCCCATTTTCGGCCAATTTCACTGTACTAGTCGACAAAAAACATGAATATTTCGCTAGAACTCCATTTTTTCTATCGAATGGGTGCAAGAAACCACTCATTTATGAAATTCAACTATCCAGTACAGTGGTCAGAATTTAGCAATTTTGCCAATTTCACACAAATTTCAAAAGATGCCAATTTCCGAATAGGGTCCAGAATAAACATGAAAGACATTCCTAGCACTAAAATGACATTTCCTCTAGTCATTAGTAACGTCTCAAGGCCCTCTTATATTCTTTTGCTTTCCACTTTGAATTTTTATTTTCACAAAAAATATAAGATTTACTGTTATGCAGACTACTGCATTAGTGTAAAAAATGGTATAAATATTATTGGTGCACTTGTGAAAGAATATTAGACTCACCAGTTGACGTGTATTGCACGCTTGGCACGATTTGTGTACTTTTGAAATTTGGTAAAAATCGAACATTTCTGCTACTTTGAGCTCAATTTCAAGGCACTTTTCATTGTAAAACCAGTCAAAATCATCTCAATTTCTGTAATATGTCTTCCATTCTATAAAATGAGACCAAGAAAACTAGAATACAACAATAAATACCATACGAAAATACACTGCAAAGTCGCTGATTTATTAAAAAAAAATGGTCAAAGTTTTTTTTTTCTCATTATGCACTGTGTGCTGCAGGATTTTTTTTAGACTGTGCACACTGACCACATAGACCCATTCTTTCATATGAAGGCCTACCAGCTTTCTCCCACTAGATTTGAGGCCGCTAGAATTTATGAGTACTAGTACGTCAAAAACCCCTACGCGTAAGACGTACTAGTACGACGAAAACCCTCAAAGGGTTAAAGAAATTAATGTTGAAAATGGAATATAGGTACAAATTCCTGACACTGATTACTGTAATATACTGTCTAGTCAAATAAGACCACTTACATTTATAAAGATGCTTCAAACAATCAAAATTTAACAAAGGCAATTAAAACTACACAAAATTACTACTATTCACATCTAATAATTATACTCATGGGAAGCACTAAACCCATGCAACACCTAGGCAATGGGAGGAAATCAGGTTTGATCTAATGAAGAGGAGAGCTTCAATTCCTCGTTTCATTCCCCTTCGTTTAAGGGATACTTACTCTAAAATACAGGAATACCTCATTAATACAGATTTTTTATTATTTTTATTCTTGCATCTTTTTTTTAGGCCTAGTGTTATTGCACACTTAATAATTGATAGAGTTAACATGTTTTTAGGCTTTTATATGCACTGGTAAGTAAAAAAAAAAAGGGCTGTGATTTGCTTTACGGTGGCGATGGTCTAGAACCTTACCCGTCGTATTATTGGGGTATGTCTGTACCTCTTTTGTATGCTGTGGATGCATTCCAGGCCCATGGCAGCTGTACTAAGACCAATCACAACACAAACAATTACAAGTGATAAAAATCTTCACAGTATTTCACAAACTGTACTGATCGCATATGGCACCCCTATACAGGAGGCACTCCACATTCACATGGGTTGGGGGATCAAGAACTTCGCGAATCTTGAAAATTCGTGAATGTTTGGTGCGCAAATATGATGTAGGGAAATGTAATAACACTGTACTATAGCGTTTGTGAATATTTTGATGTGCAATTTTTTTTTTTTCAGCAAGTAGGCCATCTCCCACCGAGGCAGGGTGACCTAAAAAGAATGAAAATCCCCAAAAAGTAAATACTTTCATCATTCAACACTTTCACCTCACTCATACATAATCACTGTTTTTGCAGAGGTGCCCAGATACAACAGTTAAGAAGCATATATAAAGATATACGTATAATATCCCTACAAACTGCCAATATCCCAAACCCCTCCTTTAAAGTGCAGGCATTGTACTTCCCATTTCCAGGACTCAAGTCCGGCTATATAAAAATAACCGGTTTCCCTGAATCCCTTCACTAAATATTACTCTGCTCACACTCCAACAGCTCATCAGGTCCCAAAAACCATTCGTCTCCATTCACTCCTATCTAACACACTCATGCACGCTTGCTGGAAGTCCAAGTCCCTCGCCCACAAAACCTCCTTTACCCCCTCCCTCCAACCTTTTTGAGGACGACCCCTACCTTGCCTTTCTTCCCTTACAGATTTACATGTTGTCCATGTCATTCTACTTTGATCCATTCTCTCTAAATGACCAAACCACCTCAACAACCCCTCTTCAGCCCTATGACTAATACTTTTATTAACTCCACACCTCCTCCTAATTTCCACACTCTGAATTCTCTGCATCATATTTACACCACACACTGCCCTTAGACAGGACATCTCCACTGCCTCCAACCGCCTCCTCGCTGAAGCATTTACAACCCAAGCTTCACACCCATATAAGAGAGTTCGTACCACTGTACTTTCATACATTCCCTTCAAATATATTGTAGGGAAATATAATAAAAGCATTTACTGAGCCTAACAATACTGCTTCCTTAACCTATTGAACCACGAACAATCATAAAACACATGAAAACATCGTAAAATATTGTATACAAATAATGAACAAACAAAACACTCACCACTCGTATGGCTAGGCAGACGAACTCTGATGACTTGTGATGATGATGACAATGACGATGATGGTGATGATAGATACCCATGCAGTTACTGATAATTGAATGGAGGTGATTATATAGAGTGAATCCAGAATACTGAAAGGAGATTCTTGTTGCATTCCTTCAGTGCTCTAGGGTTGGTAGCTTTATAAACAAAGCCTGGCTTTACCATGTGCCCAGCAGCATTAGCACATAGCATTAATGTGCATCGGTCTTTCGCAGTCTTGAACCCTGGCGCACTCTTCTTCTCCTTGGCAATGAAGGTCCTGGCAGGCATCTTCCAATACAGGGCTGTTTCATCCATATTCCACACCTGCTCAGGCCTGTATCCCGTCTCATCGACGATTTTTTTCAAAGCACCAGGGAATGCAGCTGCCAAAATGAGATCTGCCAAACCTGAATCTCCACTCATCTTCAGGTTGTGCAGGGAGAACCGTCTCTTAAGTTTATCAAACCATCCTTTACTTGCTAGGAAGTCAGGATGGGTGATGGTAGGACATCCTGGTTCTGCACTGGTGCTAGTCATCACTAGCCAACGTATCATACAAAGTCTTTCCCTTTGCACAAATTGCATTTGTTTGGTAAATATGATTGGGTGGCCGGGCATTCGCAAATGTTTGAAACTCGTAAAAGCAGAACTTGCGAAAGTGGAGGACTAGCTGTATTATACATATGCAGAATTACCAAGAGAAATAGGGCAACACACAATAGTGAATCCATATAAAGCA